ACTCCGAAGTTAAACGTGCTCAGTGTGGAGTAAAACAAGGATGAGTGACCTTATGGGAAGTCACCCTGAATTGCACCCCAAGTCGAAATCCGTGCGGGTGTAGAGGCCCAAAGCGGACAGTATCTTGTCGGGAAAAGGTTCGGGATGTTACAAGAAAACCTTAGGCAAATCCCACATCGACAAAGCACGGGAGAGATCCATGGTTCATAAGTAAGAAACCGACCTTAACTGACAAGACGCGTTTTGGGGTGTAATGTAGAACTCCGAAGTTAAACGTGCTCAGTGTGGAGTACAACAAGGATGGGTGACCTTATAGGAAGTCACCCTGAGTTGCTCCCCAAGTCGAAATTCGTGTGGGTGTAGAGGCCCAAAGCGGACAGTATCTTGTCGGGAAAAGGTTCAGGATGTTGCAAGTGGTATCAGAGCCTCTCCGCATCCCTCTTGAACGATGGTGGGGCAAACCTCAACGAGGGCGTTGAGTCCAGGGGGGTGTATGTAACACCTTAGGCGAATCCCACATCGACAAATCACGGGAGAGATCCATGGTTCATAAGTAAGGAACCGACCTTAATTGTCAAGACACGTTTTGGGGTGTGTAATGGAGGAGTTCTTGTGAGAACTCCGAAGTTAAACGTGCTCAGTGTGGAGTAAAACAAGGATGAGTGACCTTATGGGAAGTCACCTTGAATTGCATCCCAAGTCAAAAACCGTGAGTGTCGATGCCCAAAGCGGACAATATCTTCGTCGGGAAAAGGTTCGGGATGTTACAATTAGTCACTTTCAATAACTCGAGTTGTTGAAAAAAAATTAATATTATTTTCTTACAATCAATTATTTATACATTCAAACGTCATTGAACATAACCATATTAGCTTTGTAAGGCAACCATCTTCTTGTAGCTAGCTTTATGACTATGAGGTCATGCGGATGCTCAACATACTTGCTTCTATGTGTCGGATTCTCCGATCAACCAACCTCAATGTACAAAGCAATGTTTGTAAAACCGTACTTAATCAGCGGTCCAGTCGAAAAATCTTTCTAATAGAGTCTAAATCGGTAATTTAAAAAAAAATGAGGCTCTTTTGGTGCTTAGTCATAGGAGAAATTGAAGTTTGGATGAGCAAGCCTTACATGACCCGCAAAGGCAAAATGCTAAAGAAACCCATCAAGTCAATAATGGAAGCAAAACGGCCAACACAAGCAACAATATCATTGCCACCATCATTCATCTTCCCTCATGTAACTTCTCACTATGGATTAGCAACTAACTTTGGAAAAAATCCCAAAGTACACTAGTTCTTAAAAAAAATTCCCAAAATACATAAGTTATAAAAAAATTTCCAAAAGTACACATGTTTGAGCATCACCGTTTTAGACAAAAGCCGTTGCAAGATCTCGAAAAATTATGCGGAATCAAAAAAAAATTCGCTACGATCGGATAACCGAGCACAAAGTTACGTTGTTTTAAAGTTTGGACGCAGTTCAGTGCTTCACCGTTTTGCTCTCACGCGGTGAAGCAATCACCGTTTTGCTCTCCCACGGTGAAGCAGTCACCGTTTTGCTCTCACGCGGTGAAGCAATCACCGCCCTTCTCTGACGCGGTGAAGGCCCAAACATGTGTAGATTGGGAATTATTTTCATAACATGTGTATTTTGAGAATTTTTTTTAAAAACATGTGTAACTTGGGATTTTTTCCACTAACTTTCCACAGTTTCGGGTCGGGTCATTATGGATGACACATTATGTTGGACTTAGTTATGTCGGTGAGGGACGATGGTGAATGTGTTAGTAAATGATATAAAATTCGTAAATGAACATCATCTAACAATTCGAGTTATTGAGATTTGAGACTAACTAGTTCTTGACATATGATATCAAAATCTTCTGCGTGATTAACAAGTTTTCTGTTCGAATCTAGATGACCCCATTTGTTAAGCACATAGTATTCTGATTTGTGCAATGTTCAGATTCGTATAAGTTGACTCTCGTTTGAGGGAGGGTATGATCGAATATCTTCAAATAACTCAAAACCAACTAGTTCTTGGAAAAATGATATCATACATTTTTTTTGGTAGGAATATCATACATTATTGATCCATATAAGAAATTTGAGTTATTTTTTGTCGACACCAATCTATTTCCTTCGTGTCCTTGAGTGGTTGTGAGTATTACTAGGAATTGAATTGTTTCTTCATGGAGATAACAATGGATAAATAAATCCTAATATCATTTGATATAAGTTTGATCATCATGTATTGGTTTATGAATTTTATTTTAATGATGGATGTGGACTCAAGCAAATATTTGTAACTTGTTTGTTTATTTTTTTTTATAGTTATAAACAAATAATAATTATAATACGAAAAAGGATAGGGTGAACGTGTTTCAATTGATGAGGACACGGATATACTTCATGATAGGATGCAGTGAATATATAATTTATAATTATCATTATTGGACACACCAATCATCAATGGTTTTCTATTCAAAAATTAAATGAAATCCATTCATCAATGGTTTCGAATGGGAGTTTGCATGAAAAATATTGCCAAGTAATAATTACTATTACAATATGAATATGAACGAAGTGCCAATTTGATTTTTGAAAGTTTCCATTGCATAGAGAAAGAAGATATTTCTCGTATTTATGACGTCTTTCATAACGTACATATCATTTTGAAAGCGTCAATTTTCTGTTATTAGAAATATATATTTCAGTATGAATTATGACGTTTATGAGATCTCAGAGTTCCATCAAACCCCACGAGCCAAAGTTCGGTTAGCTACTTACCTTTTTTTGTGGGAAACATTTCGATTTGTAAATTAATCATTCTTTGTTTACTAATTGTCTGATTAAATAAGGCCACCATTTAGGCTACAAGAAACTCCGGGAACGGCTACGGTGCTAATTGTACAATAGTTAGCACCGTTCTAACCAACGGAAAAACTACTACTAGTTTGAATTAGTAGTGATTTAGCTTAGATGTTGTATTGATTTTATAATAATCCGTAGTGATTTTTGCTAGTTATCACGGTGCTAATCCCTATAAAAATTAGCACCTAATCCCATCCAAATAAACCATGCCATGACAATAGTCCATAGATCGACACGAAAGCATTACAATTCAATGTTATAAATTTAATCAATTTATTAACCCAATCTTTTATGTTAGACAAAGACCCCTAATTAATGCCATGATTTGGAGTGCCCACCTCCACAATTCTATCTTTTTTTCTCCATAACAAGTACTTATCCACACTTCATTTTTTAAAATTTATATTCAAATGGTAGAGCGTCTCGCAAGTCAGTTTATAATTATGATTATTATCATAATCAAGAAGGATTTTCATATTTACATAAAAGAATATATGAAAGAGGAACTAACCATACCCTTGAGACGTACTCGTGTGAAAACACATAGTGTATTAGAAACGCTCGAGAGAACCAAGCCCTAAAAACAACCTAAGACATGAGTTATCAACGGTTTATTAAAATAAAAAAACTCTGCTAAGTGGTAACATGATATATGTAGTCTGGTACATAAACATTATCAAAGGGATATAAGAAAAAACGTTATAACTTATAAGTTGAAGAGATTTCAATTGAAACCAATGCAATCTCATATAGGGATGACAATTAAACCCATGATCGCGGGTATCCGCCCACCTCCGTTCCAGTCAACGCGAGGAATCTTCGCATTGATCGGGTATGGGTAAAACCCGCAAAGAACTTGATGGGTATGGGGCGGGTATGGTTTTAGCATCCCTTACCCATACCCAAACCCGCCCCATCAAGGTATTTTGCTATACAAAAAAGCTAAAAATATATATTTTTAAATTATTATTAGCATTAAGGTAATTAAATAAGAAAACATGATTAAAATATAATTATATTTATCAAAACCCTTAAAAAATTTAAACCTCTCAGCCGACTACAATTTACTTTCTCAATTCCTCAATGTCTTCGTCTTTCCTCTCCCGACTCCTGAATCATCTTGGTGATGACCACCTTGCCAAAATTGTTGATGAGATAGTAATAGGTAATTGCATATCATTTTCTACATTTGATTTATTTTTATGCATATTGGTGGAACTTAGTGTGTTTGAGTAATTGGTAGTCTAGTAGACTTTAATCTTTTAGAAGCAAAAGAGGTTTTTGTCTAGTTAACAAGTTTATTTTAGCTATTTACTATATAGATGTGTTAGATTCGAAGATTGAATGATTTTATATAGTATTTTATTTTCATTTTATTTTATTGATTAATCAATATTTTAGGATTGAATGTTTTTTTCTATTAAGAAATACTATAACTATGTTGATTTCCGCTATTTATTATGTATGTTTTGTGTTATAATTGAAGACATACATGTTGAACTTTAGATATAATAATATTGCTTATATGAGGCGGGTATTACCGATGGGTATCCGAAACCGAAACCCATGGATATGGAGATGGATTTGCAAAACCTCCCTGCACATGAATATGAGACAGGTACGAATTTGGGTATTTGGTAATGGGGATGATGATGGTTTAGACAAACCCGCCGTTGCCATCCCTAATCTCATATTGCACATATACCGAAACTTCTTATTTAGTAATCACACGAAACGATAAATGATGGATTACAGAATGAGTTTTCATAAGTAGAGATCAAACTACTAACCTCGTGATTTAAAGTACGAGACCAACCACCACATTAAGTCTGAACTAATTCCCAGACTAACCGTGGAAGAAGCTTTTTGTATTAACCAAAAAAAATCATTTTGCATTAGGTTGGCTGTTACTACAGACAAGTAGTCAACGGCCCAAAACAGACGCCGGTCTTCGAGCAGCCCATCAAAAAAACGACAGCGCAGAAGAAACGCCAAGCTGACTAACTCCCCCGCCCGCCAGCGTGGACAATATCGGCCGTTGATTCATGAAACGATCTTAAACCATCAACGGCTAAGATCGAGCGCTGGCTCTACTTATATATAAGATCAAGTCAAGCCGCGTTTCCTCTTCACGGTAGATAGAGAAGAAGGAACAGAGGAAACAAAAAAAAATCCATCAAAGCTCGAATCTTTGAGTTTTGAAATCCAACTGCTGTACCTCAAAATCTTTCCGAAACCCAGATTGAAAATCCCTCGATTCTTCAATACCCAGATCTCGATTTTCCCAACCATTTCTTTTCTCCCTCTCTGTTTCTTTTTTCTTCGTTTCTTCTTCTCTGGTTCGTTAATGGCGATTTCTCCATCGCCGATCATCGTTTGAAGGTTTAGTCGAGCGGCTCCTCTTCTCCGAGTTGAGGGATTTGGAGTGGGGATTCGATTGTTCTCAGAGCTCCTCTGTTTTTCTTTTCCTTTTCATTTTCCCGGCGGGAAAAAGGAACAATGATAGTGGCGGCGCCGGCGGCGAAGGACAGAGTGAAATTCAACGTGGGCGGAAGAATCTTCGAGACAACAAGCACCACTCTAGCCAACGCAGGGAGGGACTCCTTCTTCGGCCCTCTCTTCGACGAAAACTGGGACTTGAAAGATTCCAGTCAATCCGCCGGCGGCGGCGAATTCTTCATCGACCGGAATCCGGACTGCTTCGCCGTCGTCCTCGATCTCCTCCGAACCGGCGACTTAAACATCCCGCCCAACATCCCAGAGCGCCTCCTCTACCGTGAAGCCTCCTTCTACGGCGTCCTCGACCATGTCCGCTCCGCGAAATGGGGTCCGTTCGACGGAAACCGCCTCCGTTACTCAAAATCCATCTCCGGCACCGCTCCCGGCGACGGCACAGCCATCCGCGCCGCCCCAGACGGAGGCTGCGCCGTCGCACACGGCAGCATCGTTCACGTCTACGACTGGATGTTGTCAGAGGAACACCCGCCTCTGACCCTCGACCACCAGCGGGTCAACGACGTCATCTGGGTCGACCCGGAAAATCTCGCCGTCTCCGCCTGCGAGCGGCTCGGCCGCGGCGACGGCGGATTGGGTATGTTCAACAAAACCTCCGGCCAGCTCCGATTCAAATTCCAGGTCACCCACGACAATCAAGTCAAGAGCTTTACCGCTGGAGCTCTGGCCACAGCACAAAATCCCAACCACAGAATCTTCAGCAGCTGTAAGGGGAGGAGCAACGAGTACGGAATCGGAGTGTGGGATCAATTCACCGGAAAGCAAGTCGATTTCTTCTACGAATCCCCCGGATGGTCTCTGGGCGACGCCGATCGGCTCCAATGGCTGGAGGAAAGGAACTGTCTTTTGGTGGCTACTCTGTTCCCCAGAAAGGACAATTGCTACATTAGTCTGCTCGATTTCAGAACCAAGGACATGGTGTGGTCGTGGTCGGACGTCGGAGCTCCGATGACCGTCGACGAGAGGCGGGTCCGGGACGGGATAGCCATGGAAGGCAACAATGCCATATGCGTGGTGAACGAGTATGAAGATTTAGGGTTTATGGATTTGAGGATGAACGGCGGCGCGATCAGGTGGAGCTCGAGGAGTCGGTTGATCATGAAAGGCAGGATGCCCGACGACGAGCCCTGTTACCCGAAGCTCGCGCTTCACGATGGGGGCCAATTGTTTTCGTCGATGAACGACTGCATCTCGGTATTCTGTGGTCCTGATATGGTCATGACCTCGAGGCTTCGTCGAGGATATGGAGGATCGATCTGCGATTTCTCGATCGGCGGGGATAGGTTGTTTGCTCTTCATAGTGAGGAGAATGTGTTTGATGTTTGGGAGTGTCCTCCGCCGCCGGTGATCTGATTTTTTGATGATCATGTTCCTCAAAGTTTGGAACTTTGTGTTATGTGTTGGATTGAAAATGCTAACTTGGCTAGTACTATAGAGATGTGACAAAGGGTGGGAATAGAATATACTGAAATGTGTGGTGTTTTTCTTTGTGCTCATTTATAGGCTAATAGAGAAGGCAATAGGATTTTGTTTTCTTCTTCTTCTTCTTCTTTGTTTCTGGTGTGGACAATAGTAGTAGCTTCTTACTACACTACATATGTAAGTTTGGGCATTTTTATAGCCATGGTTTGTAGGAGTGAAATTCAAGAGGTTTCTCAATCTGGGTTTTGTTCATTTGGTACACATTGTGCTGTTGCAAGTGCAAAGATGAAAGCTTTGATGGGTTGTTGTACATTTCAAATGTGTATATAATATGTTTCTAGGAATATGTTAACTCTCGTAGAGGTGGGTGGTTCATAAATAAGATGGTGCCACGTTTATGATGAGCAGTTGAGTACTATGCAAAATAATCGAACTAGATTCAAAATAAGGATACAGAACCCAACATGACATGATTTATTATACACTAAAACGGTAGAAACAATTCAATTTCGTATCGTAAATTGAAAAGCGAGAATAATTATGATCATATTCAAAATTTTGATTGAAAGTGATGGTCGGAAAACAAACGTGACATAATTTTCAGATTAAAGTGGGAATGAAGGATCCAATTTCAACCTTATTCGAAATATAAGAATAAACGCGATTGAATTAAAATATTGATTCAACAAAACTTTCAGAACTCAATCACAATACGAGTTTCGTATAACATTAAAAGGAAAAACTCGAGAGTTTCCATCCAATCCCAAAATGACATAAAACTTTGAACATCAAAAGGATAGTGGTGGGTATAATGATGCTGGAAGGTGGTCTAGTGGTGCCTGCCCATTCTTTTCCCTCAATTTTTAAACTTAGCTAAAGAAAGAGTTCTCTTCCTTCTTTTCTCTTCCTCTTATGACATTCTTTTTCTTTCTTTCTTTCTTTTGACCTCATGCTTTGGTTACAAACCTTACCTAATTGGTGACCTTGGATCTCTCACAATCAGAGACAGACCTGGCAAGTTGAGTAATCACTGAAGCAAGGGAGTGAGTGTGACTGAGAGCTGAGAGGAGAGGCCCTTTTGTAGGACACTCACTGTCTTTGTCCATGTGAGTTAGCACCTGCCAAATGAAGAAACCAATAATAACAAACTATATATATAAAGCTCAATAGCACACTTGGTCATATGCTCTTGCTCCCCCTCTCGGTAATCATGATATCCCGGACAAACGATTAGTCACGAAGTAAGCTCCATTTTTATGCGAGGAACTCGTACTTAATTACAGTTACCGAAAAATGAGTCTAACAGCTAATACATTTTATTGATGCTCATTAAAAAAAGAAAGAAATTCATGTTTTTCTCGATAATCTAAGAACACCTAACCATATCAAATGAGAGCACTTGACTCGAAGGAGTCGTATGCAAGGAAGTTGGCTAACATCACATTTGGAATTTCTATGATATGGAGTGAAGAAAGAAGGATGATCCCTAATTGGCAAGGTGATATTGATATACCACAAAATTGATTTCCCATTATCGCATGGGGAAACAGATCTCCCTATCGAGTATAAACATCTCACAAATAGTCACTTCATGAATTACGACATAGTGTGTGCAAAGAAGTGAAGAAGATCCATATACGAACCTCTTTCAACAGCTCGAGTTAATGATACTAACTGGTTCTTGATATGGTATCGAAGCTGGTTTGATCGCGAGGTCACGTATTCAAGTCTCATGACCTCCGATATTGACCATTATCTTAAAAGAAATGGTATGACAAACCTGTACAGACGTTATCATTCGTAATAAACATCTTTCAACAACTCAAGTTATTAGAACTAACTGGTTTTTAAAACATGCACAATCCACCTGCCTCACTAATGAGGTGTATGAGTATCTAAGATCAATCTCAAATATCTGTCTCTATTTATGTCTGCTTGTCAGATTTTTGGTAAGGGAAGATGCCCTTTGAGCATGTGAGCAGTTGGGAACCTGATTCACTGGGTATTATTAAATGTCTCTCATAACTTCAGAACACTTTCAAAGCAAAAGGAGAAAAAGAGGGAAAAGGGAAGTTGATAAGGTGAGATGAAGAAGATGGGGAGACAAATAGATTTGAAACAAGGTATAGAGGTCTTTTTTGGTGTACCAAGTATTCTAACAAGTTTCAATTTTTTTGAGTGTGGCCCCATTGGACAATATCATAACAGCATAGTGGATTGGTGTCCCAGTTTCTATGGGGTCTCTATATGGTTCTTGTCGTTTTTTCTCTTCTTTGATTATGATCTCATGCTCTTCCAAATTGTCCTGCAATTTGAATAAACAATGGTGGGTTTGTGTTGAAATCTGACAATTGGGAGCAAATCCCTAGTGGGGAAGTGAGGAGGAGAGGAAAAGTTTTAAGGTTTGGACCCATTAGAGGAGGGGTCAATGGCATGTAGGACAACACAACCGGAAAAACAGAGAACATCATTTGCACTTAATTTGTTTCTTTCAATTTCGTACTATTCATTATCATTTTCAAAGTAAACGTTTTGAATAGGATTGTCAAAACATATTTGATGAAAGAATTCTCATTTTTTGACCTTCTCATGAATGGTTCGATAGATTATCAGATATAACTATACGGGTAAATGTATGAAGATGTTACAATCCGCTAACTTTTTCGGTTGAGGACGTCCTTACGCAAAATTTTGGTTTGGAATTGGATCCTCCTCCCTTGTTTTGGGTTAAGGATAGGCTTTTGTGAGCTTTGATGGATATTAGAGAAGTTTAATCTATCCAACTTAGATTTAAAAGATTATAATTGGCTTTCATACGAGCTGAGAGGTCGGATCTTTACGTCGTTTCATTGAGTTTCTTTGCATTGGCGGAGCCAGGAATAGAAATTGGGGGGGGGGGGGGGGGGGGGGGGGGGGGGGGGGGGGGCGGGGGGGGGGGGGCTAACTTGAACCATGGTAACTGAGGGAAGAGGCGCTAAGGCCTTACCGACTAGTCTATCTCCTAAATTTGTTACGAATTTTACATGTAATTTTAGCTATATTTCAAATTTGAGGGGAGCTGTAGCCCCTCCTGACTTCAACCTAGCTCCTCCACTACTTTGTTGTTCATCAAACCTAAACATTGTGTATCGATTTTTTCTCTATCCATAATCCATTTCACAAAAAGCTCTAATCATCGTAATAGAAAAAAAGAACTCTTTATCTAATCGCCATTAGGGATTAATAAATTCATTGATGGAAGAAAAAGCTAGAACAAAAGGAAAGCTGCAATACGGCACGGCACCAAGCCACTAATTAAAGCTTCAAGGCGGCCGATGCTAAAACGGCTTTTTTGGTGATTTGTGTAAATCCTTATCCAATTGGGATGAAGTCAGCCAGTCGTCTTTGATCTCTTTCTTCCACTACCACAACCAGAAAGAAAGGTGATAGATTCCAAACATGGGATGGCTCAAAGCGTGACACTTACGTTATCCACAAACTTGTTCATTGCTTTCAGTTGTTCATTGCTTTCAGTTCTCCATAATGACATCAACTAAAGGAGTTTGTTTGTTTGTTTGTTTATATTATGCGCATCCATTTTCGGATAACACTCTGTTTCTGTTAAAGCTTATCATTCCAATGAAACCAGTAAGACATATGATTCAAACTATATAATATCGTGATAAAACTATACCGATTTGGTCACGTATGTATGATTTAATCTGTATAACAGTATCACACTCGGATAATACTGCTAATGTATAAGAAAGAATCAAGCATTTCTGGTAATATTATGGCGCAAGAGTGCTAATCAGTTGGGAGAGCATTCAAAGAATTGGAATATAGAGAGCATCATTTACCATCAAAGATAACAAGAGCTCTTGGAATGAAGAATGGCCTCCAGATATAGGGGGTAAGAGCGCTAATAAGAGATAGATTATGAATTGGCAGATTATCAAGCATAATCAGGCATGACCCTTTTGAGAAATGCTACGGGTTGAGAGTCTTCAGGGGCGAGCTGGTCGAATGGGACGTAGTTTTGCTCCTTATCGTACACGTGGCACACGGTCATTATGGTCCTCATTAGCCGCCAGTTCCATGTAGCTTCGTTTAAGTACTGTCAAACAACAGGGGAAAAGAGAGAACAAAGGGTCAAAGAGGTTTTTTCCTTTTCATTGATTCTTCTGATTTCCATATGAGTGGATGGGACATAAAGGGGTTACCTTGCCCCAGTTTTCTTGGATGGATCTGTGAGCTGCAGGGAGATTGTAGCTTGGAATTCGCGATGAAATGTGATGGGGGATGTGGACGTTGATGTTATGGCAAAGGATCTCGATCCTGCAGCATGGGAAGGTTGCTCGGATAAGCATCAGTATAAACTTGTCGATGGAGGCCAAACATGGGAAGGGAATATGCATTTTACCAGCGAGGGTAATCGCAATGAACGGTTCCATTAAGCTGAGCCTGCGCTGCATTCCACTCTTCGGAAGGTTTGAATGGAATGTGGGGGGCTGTATGATGCACCATCGTGAAAGTGCTCATCTGCAACAAATGGAGAATTCGGAAGATCATCAGAACCTCGGTGGGTGAAACCAACAAACACGAGTGAAATGGTCAATGGCATTACCCAGAAGTGATAACCCAACCATGGCATTAGCCAGTATTTGATCCATCCCACAACCCCGGATTTGTAAATAATCAAGGGCCATCCAATCCCCATGAATGCAAACACACATGCTAAACTTATCTTCACCCGTTGGACCTCATTCGGTCTGAATTTCTTCAGAGAGAAATGGGCGAGCCACCTGTCGATCGAGATCGTTCGAGTTATATGCTTGGCATAGTATCATATATGCACAATTTGTTTTTGGTAGAATCATACATGCTAACATGCACAATTGCGTGCAAGAGGGGACAGCTACTCAATACCGTTATATAGGAGCATTACCAATGAGCTATAGACATCCATGGCCTAAACGGACCATATCCGTATATGATTGCCTTCCGAAGGAGAGGGGATGAATCAAACTCTTCTTTGTCAACAGGTAGCCAAGCTGTATCTTCAACCAACCTGAAGATATGAAAAACAACAGGGGAATGATTCTCAGTTCAAAATCAATGGAACTGTGTAACCAAGAGCTAATCTAGAACACGCTGATCGAGCTCACATGTTTGTCTTTGCATGATGCCTGTCGTGCTTGAATCTCCATGGTTCATAAGGATATATTAATGGCAGAAAGGCCAAAGTTCCTACAATGTCTTCAACTAATTTGTTCTTCGAAAATGACTTGTGAGCACAATCATGACCTATGACAAAGAACTTAAGAAAGACAAGAAGAATGAGCTCAAGAATTCATAAATTGGCAAAATGAAGGAAGTTCAAGAACTAACCCCAGTAACTGCAGTCCCGGTCCATGCCCAAGCGAAGGGAAGCAGGAACCAAGGAGCCTTTGAAATCATTAAGAGCCCCAAAGCATATGAAGCTGCTGATGTTAGCACTGATTTCCATGCTTTTGCATCATCAATCTCAAACACCTTGGAATAAAAGAAGGCAAAGAATGATAAGAAAACTTTCTATGGACATGAGCATGACAATGTGCAGTAAAACTCATTCCAAGTACTTCATCCCCAATCGAAGGTCCAGACTCAATGCCAAATATCATAAAATTTGTCTTATAAATAATACAAAGCCTACCTCTTTTGGGAGGGTATCGATGACCTGCTTCAGTGTAACATCGTCCGGAAGATCTGCTCCTATTTGCCTGAAGCCATAACTTTCGGCCAACTGTTTCCTGTACTCCGCACCATCAGCTGCAGATGATACAGCAGGAACAGCCACAGCTTGTACAGTTCTAGACTTTCTCGAGTGAACTAGAAACTTATTTTGCTTCGTCCCCTGGCGGAGTAGCGGGTCCCTTGCAAAGCCATTGAAGCCTGTCTATCAAAATTGAGTTACTATAAGCTTGTAATACTAGCAACGCAGATTTGCTTCTTTTCAGTGAGGTAATAAAGCATGGATATGGTCTATATGGCTTAAACTATTCCAAGCATTCACAACTGGTTACGAAACTAAGAAGTACACATGTAATAACCCCGGAAATGATTGTGGAGAGTATTTTAGACATTGACCAGCAAAATTTTAAGAAATCAATGGGAATAAAATTGACCAGAAACTCAGTTTTGGCATTTCCTACTGCAACTATTTACTACAATTGGCAAATTTAACAGTCCACAGACACCAAATTGCCATAAATTCTCCGTTCTCTACAGCGACCAACAAAATCACCTTCAGGGAATTATCCTTAATAGAGAATCAGATCCAACTCAGACCAAGATTAGATTCAGCGAAGCATTCAGCTAAGAGAATGAAACTTTAGAGTGATTTGCAGTTGTAAATCCCACCTTCAGCTGCCAATACAACTACACAAGACATCCCATACAAATAGATGAAAAACCCATACCAGCATTCAGCCAAAAGAAGGAAACTTCAACATTGATTTGTTGAATGGAAGCCAAGTGATTGAAGAAACAACCGAGGCAGTAAGGAAAGACAGAGTAACAAACCTGTAGAGCATTGACCTGCAAACTTCTGGGTCTTGATTGGTCTCTGGTTGGCTCCCTGGCAATCCGGAAACGAAACCATAATCGAACCTCGGAAAATCAAAACAACAACCACAATTTGCTGCAAGAGGAAGAAATGTGAGACGAAGGGGCAATACCACGAAGAGGAAGACAGAGTCTGGAGCAGCGATCCTGCAAGCCATATTGGATGGCGCGAGCAATTGGTCTTGCACCTTCGTGCGCTAAGGGGGTTTTAAGAGGTTTAAAGGGGTGGACTTTATAGTTCTGCGGCGTTCGGCCTTCACCGTCCAGCCAACGTTTCTGTGGATAGAAGTAGCACCACATTTCTCAGAGTTGAGTTCTTACTTCTCACAGCACTTGGGCCTCTCAGGTCAAGCTTACAAATTACAATCGCCGCGACAGATGGCGTTTTCCCCTTGAAATCGGGGCTCTGTACAACGTCTAAACTCGCCAATCGAAGGCACGATTCCTTTGGGAGCGGGTGGAAAAAAACCGGCTATATGGACCCGATCACCCGAATAAGCCCTATAGAGAACCGGAACTCGGGAAGTGAGCGCATCAAGGTTGTCAAACCGGTTTATACCGTTGTGCCGGTTTAGTAAGTGGAATGGTACGACCGGTGGTATAACCAGTTTGTGTCAGTTCATGCCGGTTAAAAAAATGTGATAACAATTAATATCCAATGTATTTAATCATATAAAAAACATATTTGTGGACAATTTAGTTACAATCCAACAAATATCATCAACTTTTAACTATTACAATCATAAATTAAATAATAAATTAAATTTTTTTATTCATTAACTTCATTAAAATGATGTCATTTTACTTAAAATGCGTAAGTCGATCATATCGGTCATACCAATAGTGTCATGCCGATTTCATGACCGACACAGGTTGAACCAGATTCAACCATGACAACCATGGAGCGCATAAAGTAAAAATCGGTTCTTTTCCCTTCGGTTTCTCCACTTGTCGCCGTCCTTTCTTTTCTTCTCCTCCTTCCCAATTGAAATGACGCGGAACCAGACTGAATAGCTCCTGGTCTCTTGCCTGCCCAATCTCTAGAGCTCCGTCTCCGACTTACATTCGTCGGAGATTCAAATTCGTTCCGGCGATCCTATAGTCCTCCAAAATTACTCCAACTCCTCAACGAGAACAGGTTCGGGGCTCTTTTTCATCTCTTGGGTACTCTTGCTTGTTGTGAAAAGATGTTGACTTCGGGAATTTTTCTTGGTTAATTGACTGGTTGGAGATGTGGGTTCTACTGTGAAGGCGAGACTTTGCTCTTGAATTTGTTCATGGCGATCCTGACGGTGCTTGAGAAAATTAGTAGTATATTGCTGTGTTAGGCTGTAGCAAAGTTTTGAATTGAACCCTAAGCAGAATTTGAGCCATGATTTAGCTGAGACGGTTAATTGCATCATACTGTAGTGGAGTTGTTTAGATTAGCACTATTTCTCATTTCTTAATGTTCAACAGCTGATGGAAGAAGAAGAACTCCATTGCAATAGTTCGTCACAAGCACCTGTTGGGGATCTGAATAATCAGTGCATAAAACAGGATGGCAAAGGAGAAACCGAGGTGTTGGATGCTCGAACCTCCCTTGAAGAGAAGAAAGAGTTTGTTGCACCAGCAGTAGGAATGGAATTCGAGACCTATGATGATGCATACAACTACTATAACTGCTACGCCAGAGAAGTTGGATTTCGTGTTAGAGTCAAGAACTCCTGGTTCAAGAGGAACAGCAAAGAGAAGTATGGTGCAGTGCTTTGTTGCAGCAGCCAAGGGTTCAAACGAATTAAAGATGTAAACCGCCTGAGGAAGGAAACCAGAACCGGTTGTCCTGCAATGGTAAGGATGAGGCTCGTGGAATCTATGAGGTGGCGTGTGCTGGAAGTTGCCCTTGAACATAATCACTTGCTAGGCAGTAAGCTCCATAAATCGATCAAGAAGATCAATGGTGGTAGCACCAAGAGGAAGGTATCGAGTACAGATGGTGAGGTGCGAAAGATTAAGCTCTACCGGGCACTTGTTATAGATTCTGGAGATCAAACAGGATTGAGTGCAAGAGAAGTAAAAACATTTCCCGAGCTTCCTAATCAGCTGAACTTGAAAAAGGGTGATGCACAAGCTATCTACAACTACTTTTGTAGAATGCAGTTGACCAATCCGAGTTTCTTCTACTCGATGGATCTGAACGACGAGGGGCATCTGAGGAACGTTTTCTGGATCGATGCTAGGTCGAGGGCTTCATGCAGTTACTTTGTCGACAGCATATTTGTAGACAACTCGTACTTGTCAGGTAAATATGAGATTCCTCTCGTCACATTTGTGGGAACGAATCACCATGGTCAGTCTGTCTTGCTTGGATGTGGTCTACTTTCTGGCGAGACAACCGAGTCTTACCTTTGGCTATTCAAGACATGGCTCCACTGCATACCGGGAAGAATGTCTCCACAGACCATTATCACCGACAGGTGTAAGTTCTTGGAGAAAGCAATTGCACAGATGTTTCCCAAATCACACCATTGTTTCAGTTTGGTACACATCATGAGACGAATTCCTGAGAAACTAGGAGGCTTAGGAAACTATGATGCAATTAGGAAGGCATTTGGGAAAGCGGTTTATGATTCGATGAAAGTAATTGAGTTTGAAGCAGCGTGGGGCTACATGATCCAGCTTGTTGGAGTTTCTGACCACGAATGGCTTCGATCATTGTATGAAGATCGCCTCAAGTGGGTCCCGGTGTATCTCAAGGATGCATACTTTGCTGGTATAGGAGAGAATCTTCACCCGTTCTTCGACAAGTACATCCACAAGCAAACACCATTGAAGGAGTTCCTCGATAAGTATGAGCTGGTATTGCACAAGAAGCACAAGGAGGAAACCCTCGCTGATATCGAGTCGAGAAGCTCTTCGGCACTTGCCCTGAGGAGCAGGTGCTCATTCGAGCTGCAGCTTTCCAAAGTCTACACTAGGGAGCTGTTCAAGAAATTTCAGTTCGAGGTGGAAGAGATGTATTCATGTTTCAACACGATGCAGATTCACGTGGATGGCCCAATTGTGATATTCCTGGTCAAGGAAAGGGTTCTGCTTGGTGAAGGGAACAGGAGAGAAGTGAGGGACTATGAGGTTCTGTACAATAGAAGCGGGTCAGAAGTTCGTTGCATATGCAGCCGCTTTAACTTCTCTGGTTATTTGTGTCGGCATGCTTTGTGTGTACTGAACTTTAATGGCGTGGAGGAAGTTCCTGGAAGGTATGTACTGTCCAGATGGAGGAAGGATTACAAGCGGATGTATGTGCCTTCGGATCATGGCTCGGGCGAAGCTGTCGTTGATGCTACTGACCGTGTGGAGTGGCTCAACCGGTTGCATCGGAGTGCTTTGCGGATCGTGGAAGAAGGGTTGGTTTCGGTCGAGGGTTATGATGCTGCGTTGCAGGCCTTTGAGGAGTCGCTGAATAGGGTTCATGAGGTGGAAGAACGAGTGAATGTGTAGAGAATGTGCAGTTAGTTCATTATCATTCTTTTGTACAAATGGAGGCTTTGTTTCGATTGAATCTTGTGTATAAAAACTAAAAAGGTTGGAAGTAGGGGTGGTATTCGGTCGGTAACCGGTGTTTACCGGTTACCGATTTTACCGGTTTTCGGTATACCGAGTGTGGGTAAGTGGGAATCGATTATCGATACCAGTTTGTAACTGGTTTACCGGTTACCGAATTACCGGTAAACGGTTACAAACCGGTTTTACCGACTTACCGTAAAGAGTAGTTGCAGACGGTTTTTCGGTTCGGTTTACCGAAAAAGTATCGAACCGAATTTCTGGGCAATGGAGTGATGTTGTAATATTTTGATTTTTATAAGTTTTTTCTTCATTTTTGTAATTAATAAATTATTATTAACTCTTATTTATAATATTTTTGAGGCCTATACTTACTTTCATTCATGTATGTAATATTTGTGAATAATGAAGTATATGTTATTTAGGGGTGTACATGGGTCGGGTGGTCCGGGTTTAGACATTTTAATCACCCGACCCATGCACTACGGTTTGGAAAATATTAAACCCAAACCCACCCAAAAAAATCTAAACCCTACGGTTTGTTTCTAATTGGGTTGGGTCGGGTTGGCGATATTTTTAAGTAAAAACCCAACCCAACACAAAATACGTAATTATTCTACATCATAAAAATATTTTATAACAAATTAAAAATTCAAACGAATAAACCAAGGTGAAAGGTATCAAAATTCACAAATATTGTTTGAATTTTAATAAAACTTGATTTACTTCAACTTATGTCTAGTTTTTTTCACGACATTTGTTGAAATAGGCTAAAAAGGTTACAAATGAACGCATCCATAATATGATATTCTTTTAAAATTGTACACAAGAAAAAAATTACGTGAATCATAGCTATATTAAATATATGTCTAAACTTTAAGTCGAAGAATGCATTAGATTAGTGAGACATTAAGAGAAAAATATGGCGAAATATCTTAATTTTCTCATAAGTATGACTATATACGACATAAATATTTTTTTTGGATACGAACTCATACCAATAATTGGAACACGGGTTGGGTCGGGTTCTACGGATTGTGTAATCTAAAATCCAAACCCAACCCAAAAGAGGCGGGTTGTACAAAAGAAAACCCTAACCCAACCCAAAACCTTCGATTTAGCGATAAATACAGGTGGGTTGGGTCAGGTTGGACGGGTGGGTCGGTTTGCGGGTGTGTTTGTTCACCCCTAATGTTATTAGTTAATGCCTTAACTGGTCCGGTATCGGTATTACCGAATTACCGTCGGTATTTACCGATACTGGGGCCGGTAAACCGAGCTTCCCCATTTGACCTCGGCTGCCGATACCGCCGGTTACCGGTTCGGTAAAACGGTAAACCGTTTACCGACTTACCGTTTGTCACCCCTAGTTGGAAGTGTGACTAACATGATGTTATCTTCTGTGACTCTGAGATGTGAACTTCGTTCGAGTTGAACAATCAAGGAATTTTCTTTGCTCAATTGCTTCAAGAATCTTAGTTTGAGCAAACTTCATGCATGTCACCTTCATCGAAAAATAAATCGAGTCATTTCCTCCTAAATTCACCTTCCTTGGTGGATCACAATTCAAATACCTTCCAACCATATATTAACATATTTTTCATGAGAATAATCTTTTTTTTTCTAATACTATGAGTTGGTGACACAAATTTTGACTAAAAAGTAATATACACCAAAGAAAGAGTGATTAAATCTAATTCTAATTTCTAAGCCTAATTATTTGATTTCACTCTCTAATCTCTATCGAATCCTTTCTTCCTTTCCCAGTAAAGGCAAAGGAAAGGCGTCATAGGCAAAAACAGGATAGTGTCTATCCAAATCCGACTGTCCAAATCATTTTCACTCCTCGTACGTCAAACCCACAATAAAAAGACAAAAACTTGGCTCCACCTGGCGGAGGATGACGCCGCCACGTCGGCACAAGCCTGTCGTGGGTGGCGATTTTCAGACCCGCTGTGCCCTGCGAGCCAGCCTTCAAATCAAGGCAGCTGATAGAGGGAAGGAAAGCAATCGCCTTTACGGGCGGGAACCTTTGAGCTTTTGCCCACCAATCATTCGATCAATTTCCCCAACCAAAAATTTTCGCCCCGTTTCCCACACTCTCTTAACCAAATCATTTCATCGGTTAAGACTTGAGAACAAAAGGCAGCAAAGTACAAACCCCCCTTTTCGTTAATCTTCCCACGAAACCCCTTTTCTTCTTGTTGGGTCTATCTCTTGACCCGAAAGCGAAGGTTTTGATTCACCAAACCAACCAACCACTTTGCCGGGATAACAATTTTCAGTTGCCGCCAAGGGTTCTGTTGCTGGAAATGAGTTTTTGGGTTTTGGTTATTGAAGAAGAAGAAGAAGAAGAAGAGGAAAAGAAGAGTTTTTGAGGAGGGCTTAGCGACGAGAGAAAGGGAAGATGGCATTGTTTCGCAAACTGTTCTATAAGAAGCCCCCTGACGGGCTGCTTGAGATCTGTGAGCGCGTCTATGGTGCGTTTCCCTTCTCTTCATTTCATTATACTGTTTTTGTTTCTTCTGCTGGTCTAGTGGCAGGTACTGATAAAAAAGTTGGAACCTTTTCTTGTGAATCCGCTAAATTATTGCCTTTGAGCTGTGGGGTTTCCTCGTTTGGTTGCCACGAAAGTTTGAGATATGAAATTGGGAGTTTGGCTTGTGCATTAACGATCTCCTTTTCATGAATTTGCTGTCCTTTACATGAATCAAGTAATTAACTGGAACGAGTCATCTAAAAAGAGCTAGTCTTTCAGCAGTCATGTATGCAATACTATCTTTGTTGTGTCTTGGTTATGGAAGGTGTAAAGGATTCTGATTTACTAAGTGTAATATATGTATAATGATCGAATGCAGTTTTCGATTGTTGTTTTACAATGGATACATGGCAAGACAAAGATTACAAGGGGTACATATGTGGAATAGTTGGCCAGCTTAAAGACCACTTCCCTGATGCATCATACCTAGCATTCAATTTCCGAGAAGGAGAGACACAAAGTCAGATTGCTGATGTATTATCTGAATACGACATGACTATCATGGAGTATCCTCGGCACTATGAAGGCTGCCCTTTGCTCACAATGGAAGTGGTCCACCATTTCTTAAGATCAGGGGAAAGTTGGCTTTCGCTCGGACAGCAAAATCTGCTGCTGATGCACTGTGAAAGAGGTGGTTGGCCGGTTCTTGCCTTCATGCTGGCAGCACTTTTGATTTATAGAAAGCAATACAGTGGAGAGCAGAAGACATTGGACATGATCTATAGACAAGCTCCTCGTGAGCTTTTGCAGCTGTTGTGTCCTCTAAACCCTGTCCCTTCTCAGTTGAGGTATTTGCAGTATGTTTCAAGAAGAAACGTGGCTACAGAGTGGCCACCATTGGACAGAGCTCTCAACTTGGACTGTATCATCATGAGATTCATCCCAAATTTTGATGGAGAGGGTGGGTGTCGTCCTGTGTTTCGTATATATGGACAGGATCCCTTTCTTGCTTCAGATAGAACTCCTAAGTTCCTGTACTCCACTCCTAAGAAGTATAAAACTTTCCGTGCTTATAAGCAGGTAAAACTTTTTATTTCTCAATACTGTTGTTAATCAAGTTGATGAAACTACAAGTTTGTCTGGCTATGGAGAGATTGCTTAGAATGTGGATCAATGACTGTATTTGGTTTGATGCATTTGTAAATTGATGTTATTCCTCTAAATTGCATGCTATTATGTGAGATGTGGTTGTGAAAATTTGTTTGGTTAAGTGCATTTGTGAAGGAAATCATGTAAATGTGAAGAAAAGATTTGTGGGACCCACTTCCTAGAATGCATTTCCAAATGTTCCATATCCCCCAAGTATTTGAGATTACATCATTTTGATGCATTTGAGATTAGTTGCACGATTCCAAATACGCTGCAATACATTTAAAACTTTTACCCCAGAAATGATTCAATTATTGCTATTGCTAATATCACTTTTTTTAATACACCCAACCGAACGACCTGTGAGTTCTATGTCCATTATATGAAATATATTCTCTACTCATGGATCGGCATATTATTTCCAAATTCTTCTGAATATTCACATTTGTAAGCAACTAAGCAGTTCCTTGACCTTGTATAAAAAACAACACTTATTGAACACTGTTTCTGAGTGCAGGCAGAATGTCAGCTAGTTAAAATCGATATCCATTGTGCAATCCAAGGTGATGTTGTGCTGGAGTGTGTCAGCATACGTGATGAAATGGAGAGCGAAGAAATGATGTTTCGAGTGGTGTTTAATACGTCTTTCATCAGATCAAACATCTTGATACTCAACCGGGATGAAATTGATATATTATGGGATGCTAAAGATCTGTTTCCAAAGGGCTTCAGAGCTGAGGTACAAAAGTTTTTCAGTCATACTTCATTCTATGGAAACGATAGTTCTTCTGTAATTGAGCTCTGTGGTAACCTAAACCATTCACTTTGCTGAAAGATTATTTTCTCAGAGGTTGATGCCCATGCTTCTGTTATCTCTATGGATTTTGCTGGCCTTGAGGAGAAGGATGGCCTGCCAGCTGAAGCGTTTGCCAAAGTTCATGAGATCTTCAGCTGTGTTGACTGGTCAGCACCAAATGCAGATGTAGCATTTAACATGCTCCAGCAAATGCATGACATGGATTTTGGACATAGTGCAGAACAAAGTCCTCAAAGTCGGGAAACCAGTCCAGGAATGCTCCATGACAGAAGGAAGAGAGAACGGTTGATGAGGAGCTCACTACTCTCGTGGGAAAATGCTGAAGGTCTCGTTGCGCCAGAGTTATTATCTCCACATACAAATTTTTTCCAGGATGAGCAGCAAAATCTTGAGAATGACAAAGAGACACCACCAACTACTCCTTTGGATCTGACCATTAAAGATTTGTTACGTGACAATGCCTCACTTCAGAATACCGAGACACTAAAAAGGATCTTGACGAACTCGCTAGCACAAAATTTGGACCATATGGACTCACCAAATTCAGTTTCACCTACTCGATCGGTTGAAGCTGAACATGAAGTTTCCACTCAGACGCCTCAATCAGCATCTGGCCATGGCATTCGAGGTGCCGAGACCAGAAGTGCTTCTGATTCATCATCAGTACCTCAACTACAACCTCCTATCGCTTCTGCTGCTGAGAAGCTCCTTATGTGTGCACAGTCATCTGCAAACCATCAAACTGCTCCTCCCAAGGCTCTCTCAACTTCACTACTCCCTTCTGCTCCACCACCGCCACCACCACCACCACCACCACCACCATCAACTTTGGCTTTGGAGGAGAATGTTGTCAAAGCTGAACCTCCACCACCATCAACTTCGGCTTTGGAGGATAATGCTGTTAAAGCTAAACCTCCACCACCACCACCACCACCTCCTCCTCCATCTTGTCCAGTAAAAGCTACAAGTCCTTCAATGGCCCCACCAAAGGCTCCACCTCCACCGCCTTTACCTTCTTCTGCACTCTCTGCTCCTCCACCACCTCCTCCGCCACCGCTTCCTCCTGTATCTTCATCTGCCCCTCCTCCTGCCACCTCCAGGCATTCAAATGCTCCTCCTCCACCACCTCCTCCTCCTCCTGGTACTGCTAGACATACTTCTTCTGCACCGCCATCGCCACCACTTCCTCATTCTGCAGCACCTCAAGCTCCTCCTCCGCCTCCTTGTTCTTCTGCACCTCCTGCTCCATCTGCCCCAGCGCCACCACCTCCTCCGCCTTCAGCTAATGGTACTTCCAGAGCTGGTAGTGGTGGAGATGCCTTGTCTGGACCTCCATCAACTGTACCACCATCTCCTGCTCCGCCAATGAGTGGTGGCCTGGGGGGCAAGGGACGGTTGTCTCGTGCCATAAGGAACAATCAGAAAAAGTTGAAACCTTTGCATTGGTTGAAGTTAACAAGAGCTGTGCAAGGAAGCTTGTGGGCCGAGGCACAAAAATCAGGAGAAGCCTCCAAGTAAGTTTTTGTTTTTCCCCCATAAGAGTGTATAATATCACTTGGAGAATGCTTTGTTATAAGTTGTTCCTGATATATCTAAAGTCTAATCTTTTTTGTTGATTATTCTCAAAGAGCTCCAGAGATTGATATGTCAGAGCTGGAGAGTCTTTTTGCTGCAGCAGCGCCAACTCCAGCTGGTGGGGGTAAAACGAATGCACGTGGCAATCGTGGACCTAAGACTGAGATAGTGCAGTTGGTATTTCACCTAACTGGTCTCTTATTGGCTCTGGAATGATTTTTCATTACAGTAGTTGATATCAGGGTGCTGCTAATTTCCTATGATGCATTTATCAAATACATCATGTGAAACAATGTTGAGGACCTTGAGCTGGTGTGTATACTTCAACTATTAAAAGCATTTTTACTGTGCATGCACTCAGGCAGCTGAAGGTCTCTGTAGCTTATTAAGTGGATGCGGAATGAATGAAATTGCTATCTAGGTGCTGTGTTTTGTTGATTCCCAGATCTTTTTTTCCCTCTCCACAGATTGACCACAGACGAGCCTACAACTGTGAAATCATGCTTTCTAAGGTTAAGGTTCCACTGAGTGAATTGACGGTAAATACACTGTGTTGAAATGCACCTTTGATTTCCATTTGTGCCTTTAATTTTTGGTTGCTCTGGAAGGATTCAGGCTGCTTATGGTTATGGAATAGACATATTGTTTTCTTTTGACAGAAGATCTTTCTATTTTTGGCTAGTTTGTATATTGCATCAGGATATTCTCTGACATTCTCGTCTACCCGTTTTATGTTCTGACAGGGTTATGTTTTAGCTCTGGAGGATTCAGCATTAGATGTAGATCAAGTAGAAAATCTGATAAAGTTTTGTCCTACCAAAGAGGAAATGGAACTCCTTAAGGTGAATCATTATTGAATGATGTTGTATTCATTCTCAAAATGCTTACCGGCAGCATTAAGAGGTATTCTCATAAGAAGTTACTTATAATCCTATGTTAATATTCATTTTGTCAGGGCTACACTGGAGACAAGGAAAAGTTGGGGAAATGTGAACAGGTCTGTGACATTCTCTTGTCCATCTGTTTAAAATTTCAGAAGTGAACATTTTGGTGTATTTTTCTGTTAGCTTATTTATGTCTAGCCAGAGTCTCATAATTGGCATCTTTTGTGGATCCTTTCTGCAGTTCTTCTTAGAGTTGATGAAGGTTCCAAGAGTGGAAGCTAAGCTCAGAGTTTTTGCTTTTAAGATGCAGTTCCGTTTACAGGTGACGAAAAAGGAATGAGTTCTCTCGGCCATCTTCTCCCAACTTCAATTTTTTTACACTCACCTGTTTACCATTTTGCATTCTAGGTTTCCGACCTCAGGAATAGCCTAAATACAGTAAACTCGGCTGCAAAACAGGCAAGTTACTGATGGTGCTTTCTTCTTGGTGGATACATTTCTTTGGGTCATCCTTCAACATTTCTGATTTAATCTAACATGTCAAATTTGCTCTCATCAGATCAGGAATTCTGCCAAATTAAAGAGAATTATGCAGACTATTTTATCATTAGGGAATGCTTTGAACCAAGGAACTGCTAGGGGTAAGTCTGCATTTGTCATGCTGAAAATATTTTTTTCATTCCATGTACCGTTTAATTTTTCTATTGCTGAAGCATCGTTTTCATTTAGGTGCTGCAATTGGATTTAGGTTGGACAGCCTACTTAAACTGACCGATACCCGGGCAAGGAACAACAAAATGACTCTCATGCACTATCTTTGCAAGGTAAAAACTGAGGTGTTTCGTGGAGATATACCACCAGTGGGATGCAATAAAACTTCAAAATTCACTGTGCTTACTATGGGGGCAGGTGCTTGCTGACAAGTTACCGGAGCTTCTTGACTTCTCGAAGGACATAATCAGTTTGGAACCTGCATCCAAGGTATCGCGGTTTCACCTTCATAACTGTGGAAGCGAGTCTTGATAATTGTGACCTCGTGGCTGAATGTGTGTTTGTAAAAATCTAGGTACAATTGAAGTTCTTAGCAGAAGAAATGCAAGCTATAAGCAAAGGACTTGAAAAGGTCATGCAAGAGCTATCATCCTCGGAGAATGATGGTGCCGTTTCTGAGAACTTCTGTAAGGTAACACATTATTCCCATTGTCTGTGTCTCTGTGTTCTGTTCATCTTTTGAGTCGGATTTAAGACCTGCATGTGATTTTAGAAGTAAAATTGTTTGGCAAAATATGTGCATTGACAAGATGTAGGACTAGAAATAGCTTCTTTTATGCACTTCTGGCTAATCAAGTTTTCCTTGTTCAGACCCTTAAGGAGTTCCTTCGATTTGCTGAAGCTGAAGTAAGATCACTTGCTTCTTTGTACTCCGGAGTGGTATGTCATCTCATCTCAATTTTCACCTTGAAATCAACTATTTCATGTTTATAGTCCAAGACCATCTGAATGCCTTGGGTGTTGTTTTTAGGGTAGGAATGTGGATCAATTGATTCTTTACTTTGGAGAGGATCCAGCCCGTTGCCCATTTGAACAAGGTACATTCCTAGATGAATATTTTTCATGTCTTTCAGAACTTTTGGCTTTAGATCTGCTTCTCACTATTATGACCAATGACACAAAATGTGCAGTTTGTTCGACGCTGCTCAACTTTGTGAGGCTATTCAACAAAGCTCACGATGAGAACTGCAAGCAGCTTGAAATGGACCTGAAGAAAGCAGCAGAGTCCGAAAAGAACAAAGTAGCAGTAGATGCATCCGAGAACAACCCAACCAAGTCCTTGCTGCAAACTGCAGTCCAAACCAGCAGTGTCAAATGACCAAAACCTTCAAGGCCATCAACTTTTTCGCCGTTCTCAAAACTGAAACCTTTAAGGAAGCCTATCTCAAGTACTGAACAGGCAAGGACGGCACCTTATGGGACGTCGAATGAAGCCTGCCGACGAGTACGTACACCTGGCTGGTGGATCTAAAAACCTGAGTCTCGACACACGTAGCGTTATCAGTCTTGCTGATGGCTCAAAAGTTTCCAGCTTTCTTCTGCTAGAAGGTAATCCCCCTCCGCCAGGCTCTTGAAACCCACAAGAATCGAAACACAGGCTGTTAGAAAGTACGATGCTTTTTGAAGGGTAGGGTTGGCTACTTGTACATGTTCTTTTTAGTAACCCTTAACATTCCAGCTCTATGGGTGGAAGTAGGAGGGAAGAACTCCCTTTCTGCTGCCCCTCACAATTTTGTCTCCTGACTTTGTTTCTGTTTTCTGAACAACCTCTCTGCCTGTAGAAACACATATACATCTGTTTTAGCCTGTACATAAAAATAGTGTTGTAGAAATGACTTCTTTCTTTCTTTCTTTCTTTCTTTCCTTCTGCTTGCTTTATTCAGAGTTAGCCTCCTCCCAACAGGTTAGCTGTGGAGATGTTTCAAGAATTATGGGCAGTCATATGGTATCCGAACCGAAGTGCATCGTACTCGATCTGACTAGCTCGATTTTATCCTAACATTGATCTCTACCGATTTAACGAGATGCGACCCGAATCGCTAGACATGTCATTGCCCCAACAAATCCTCCAAGTTGTATAAAAGACATGGATTGCAAAACCCATGTGATCATATTTATATCAATTTGTTAATGAGATTAATAGGGTTAGTTTATGTGGATATGATTGGCAATCGTATCCATAATACCATGAGTTTTGGAATATGGGACTGTGTCTGCTTCTTTTTGGCTCTTCCTTTGCCCTCAATCAACGGCAAGAATAATTTCACATTCTACCATCCAACTAATAGGGATTCAGAAAGCCCATAAAAATCATACAGCGTCTTGCAAGATAATCTCGTATGAAAAACATCAATTTTTATTATTTAGTTGGTATCTTCTTTTGAATACTTGATACCAAATTGATTTGTGAATAGAAAATTTAGAATCAACTATCATTATAAGTATTTTCAATTATCATTATGTTTTCTAATAATTGAATTATTCTCTAAAGCAAATATATCCTATGAATTCTATTTAGTTGGAATCCTCTTTTGAAGACTTTGATACCAAATCAATTTTTGAATAAGAAATGTAGAATCAATTATCATTATAAGTATTTTCAATTACCATTATAAGTTATAATAATCGAATAATTTGATGAAGCAAATATATACTATGAATTCTATATCGATATAAATAATATGTGAATGTTATATTTAATTCTCGTACATCATGCTGGTGTTGTATAATTTTCTATGTTAAATAGCCTCGTAATTTTCTAATATTATATTTTAGATGTTCCATATTAATTAAATTTACTAATTCTAATTCTCTTCCTATAGTCGTATTTTTTCCATATTTGTTATGGAATGTTATAAATTTTATTTATTTATTACTTGGTTACTTTCGTTCTCTTTTCGTTCTAAATTTTCTTCAATTACTGGAATATGTTTAATTCTTTCTTACTTGATTCCATTTATCCTTCTTTGGTCTTGATGTGTTGATGATCAACTAGATTCTATTTTAATTATTTTTAATAGTATTTCTAATTGGATTAGCGATTTAAATAGATCTTCTAATATTGATTTCAAATATTTATTATTATATTCTATATATTTATTCTTCTTCTTGGTATTTGTTTATTATTTTTACTAATTTATCTATTTTATTGTCAATTTTGATTAGTCATTTTAGTAATATTATGTTTAGAAGGTTTTTTAATTTCTATATTGGATAAAAACTTGTTGAAATATAGTTTTGGATGTTTTTAAAAGTTTTGGGTACCAAAAAGTAATTAAAATTTTGGGTTGGATGGAAAACTAGATGGATGCACATTTTGACGACTTTAATGGTACCCGACGCCCTATTCAAACTTAAGTGATATATCTATCTCAATTCTCAAACTTAAGTGATACCCGAAGTATTTTACCCTTTAACTTGTTACCACCTACCAATAACGCCTTGATTTGGGAATCATGGACCGATGGAGGAGCCAACATGTAACAGTACTATTATTGGCTTATCACACTCTGTGGGGTTTTCACCCATGAAAAGATCTGTTCTCCTTTTTGCTACATATGGTGTAAAATTCCAATGAATTTGTTTGTAGACAGTAGTCTTTGGCAGGTTGCCTTGCACGGGACGAACTGTGGAGAGAGGCAGAGAGACCTGAGTTCTCCCTCATATAATTCCTCAAACCCCAATTTCCAATGCTTTTTTTTTCTGACATTATTATATTTGGCAATACCTAACACTGCAAATCCCTATGTTCGTGCAATTCAGGTAAAATGTTATTTTTTGTGAATGATGTGAAAGTGAGTGTTGATAGCATAAAATAAGGGCACATTTAACAAAAAAAAAAAAAAAATTTACAACCCATTACAAATTTACAATATTGCATAATGAAATCATAGTGATATATGTTCCTTACAAAAAAAAAAGAGAAATAATTGTGATATGATAATCAGTGAAAATAATTTGTGCCCGTTTTGCTACGTTTGAGATGTTTGTAACCTTTTAGTTACCAAATCGAATCCGTGACACGAAAAATGATCAATTACCCACATGCAAAACCAAAATTTGGTAAATTATATATACGGTCATTCTTGTGTGATTGAATTTTCATTTCATGCGCACCATTCATTCATTAAGGGAATGTAACAAATGTGTGCAATGGGTCGTTAGAATGCAATCTTTTGTTACTTGAATCACGTATCGTAAACGATGGACTTCACGTGATTGAGTGCACATTGTTGAAATCCCCTGAATATACAAATTAACGTAATCATGTTCATGTCTTAGTATTATTCAATGAACATTTTTAACGAGTTATTGAAGAAAGCCTTAATGAAAACGGATAAAGAGATCTCATAGTCCAAGAGCGTAGAAAGTCACATGTCGTAGTTCTGATGTTCATTTGGGAGAGAGAGAGAGAGAGTTGACATCATAGGCTACCAAGAGAAAATGGTGACGAGCAACAATTCAGCCATCATAACACCAACAGGTCACGAGCAACAATTCAGCCATCACCAGAAAATTACTTATAAGTTCTAACCCAAAATCGACCAAACAGGCTCAATCAATTACCATCTTTCACCAAATCATGACCTACTTTTCCTTTCCAGTGATCCAAACAGATCAAACGTACAATTAGCTAGAGAACCGGCAGGAAAAGAATGAGAAAGGATACAACTTTTCAACTGACAATATTGTAGTAACAACCGGGAGGATTCACTAGTAAGCAACAAAGACACCAGAAACAAAACTATGAAGCATATAAATGTACTATACAATTACGGGAAATAACTCGCGATCTACAATATGTCATCGACTCTGATTGTGTATAAAATGTGAGGAACGTTTATGAACATGCAGATAAATTCTCGTTTGTAACTATTGATGAGAATGTTTGTCGTCCAACATTTTCGTACAAAGATCTATGGACGACCATTATCAAAATCTCTACAAACTACACGACCTTTTTTTTTGTTGTTGTACACATTTTAGCAATCCAATGTTGTAATGAGTACCAGAGGTAATCGATATAGCAAATCGCGAAGGAAATAAAATGACGCACGAAAGTACATGATGTACCAACACAATATACGTACGCTAGCTACGTCCATGAACAAAGGCGAACGCTGGGTTTCACTTATTTGAATTTCGAAGAAAGAATACATGTTACGTATTACAGCTGATCATAATGTACGTATAAACCTTTTCTCGTTCCCTTACTTGGCAATAACTAGTCCGAAACCAAACACAAATATATCAAAATTTGTATATCGTTCAAACAGATTGACAATAAATTCCGTGGCGTATCAGTTGGACCGCTATTAAGCAAATTCGAAACATTTTACGACGTAGAATGTACCATATAAAGATACAAAAATGTCTCATTGTACCAACGTAGAATGTAACACATGGCTCCACCCTCCAAAAAAAGACCTGCATTGGCACCTTCCCCCTTGTCTCCCAAATCTTTATTTCTGTCACCCGATTCATATTATACACCCTTCATTATTTTTCTAAGGAACCAAAAGAAAGAGGGAACTTACTGTTGTCGTCTCCATTTGCATGTGAAGCCAATGACTTTTTTTTCTATTCTAGATGGGGTTGGCGCCTCTGCCCTCTTCCTAGGTCACTGTGCCCTTGATAAATAAAAAGTGTCCTGAAAGTAATAAGGGCATATAATTGAGTACCCTTAGCTAAGCTAGCTCGACGGTAAATATAAGAATTAAGTAGGGCGGTTAATGAACCAAGCCGCTCATGAACGACTCGGTGTCCGATTTGAGAAAAACTCGTTCGACATTCGATTCGTCGTAATCGAGCCGGCTCGCGAACAAGCTCGTTTACTAAACGAGCCGAACTCGAGCCACGCCATGTTCAGCTCGAAAGTTCGCGAACAAGCTCATTTAATGGTTTGGCATAAAAAAAGGATTAGAATTAATGGATTTTAGGTATTGAAATTGGGATAAATATTGTGTTTTACTTTGATAGACTTTGCTATAGGTTTGAATGTAATTTTGTGCTCAGTTCTAGGTCAATATTGAGCTATCATGAACATTTTATAAGCTGAACTCGATTTTGGGCTCGTTAAACTTATTTGACGAGCCGAGCTCGAGTCGAGCTCGAGCTTTCATTTTTCATAAACGAGCCGAGCTCGAGCTTGCATATTAAAGCTCGTGACGAACACGAGCCGAGCTCGAGTCTGGAAATATATTAACGAACCGAACCCGAACTATGACAAAGCTTGGCTCGATTCGGCTCATTAACAACCCTAGAATTAAGAAAGAAGAACGTTATTAACATTTAACAACCTCATAAAAGAATTACCACGAGGTGAAAAAAGAGCATAAGCTCCCTGAAAAAGTCCTCCAAAATCTTTAAAGTATAAAGTGGTTTGCTTTTGTTAACTTTTTTTACACTGAGTGAGGGTCAGAGAATATGGTAGGGAGATGGATAATTTACTGCATACTAGGCTTTTAGATTAACATCTAGCTGTTGTTATTAAAACAACAATGTGATCAAGTAATGGTGTGTTCTGAGTCTCGAACGCTTGTACTACTACGTTATACACCAAGTTATTCCTATTAGATGTAATTGATCAATTGCAGTACAAGCATATATTATTTCATGTAGATTGAAACGAGATTAAAATTATGTGAATCTTCTCGCCGAGAGTGTTTCATTTGCAACGGGTCTAACAACCCGATCAACTTTGCAGGTGGTTTTCAACACGGGGAAGGAGAGAGATATTAGGCCCGATGAGGACGATGAGTTGGTCGTATTTATTTCCTTCAACGAGCAGATTCGTGCATAGCATTCTCAAGACCGTAAAAAAGAAGATAAGGGGATCATATATAATTTTGATGAGATTCGAGACGATCAGTAAAAGCTATGGTAGATAAACTCTCGTCCTCAAGCAGTAATATATGCATCCTAGTCTTCTTGAATCCTTTTGTTTCTCCTGCTACTAGCCTACTACCACTTTTTTTTTTTGCGTCATATAACGACATGAAAGCACATATCGGTCAATAGTTTACATTTCCAAAACTAAACCTTCATAAGAGACACTCAAGGGAAAGTCCTCTCAACCTATATATGACAACAAGACCAATTCACTATATGTAATTCAGTTTTGAAAATCGTATCATACTAGCGATTCGACTCGTAAAATCGTCTATCAAACACTATAAAGGTGGGTCGTGTGAGTGATGAGTTGCCCGTTATGGGACTTTAAAGGACTCTACTTTGCCTTTGCGTCGATAAATAAATGAACAATAAGAAGCAAAACGCCAAAAACAAAGCAAAAGAAAAGAAAGGTAGAATAGTAATACTAAGGAAACAGACACACCCAACCCACCACCGACCCCGTACCCGACCCGACAATTCATACCCTTCCCTTTTCCCTTTTCTTTCTTCATCTTCTTCCTCTCTCTCTCTCTCTCTGCTTTCAAGAAGGATCCCAATGCTGCTTCTGCTTTCTTCTTCTTCTCATCAGTAGTACCCTTCCTTCTCCAGTACTACCACCAACCGCCATTCCTTCACCTTAACGTCTCTCTGCCCTCTCTCTCCAGTCTCCATTATTGCCACTCAATTTTGCTCCACCATGTCCTCCTACTAGGCCAGCACTCAATTACCAAGAAGACTCAACAAAAGTGGGGGGAAAAAGGTAAAAGAAAATGGAGGTCAGTGGAAGGAGAAGATCAGTACCTGTTGCTGCTGCTGCGGCAGCAGGGTTGGTTAACAATAATAACAACAAACCCAGTAGTGTGATTGTGGCAGCTGGCTCTGTTTGGGAGAGCAGAATGAAGCTCGATGAAGTCAAAGGCGGGTTCAAGGTCTTCAGTGTCGCCGACGGCGAGAATCCCGAACCGCCGGCGGCGGTAACGGTGGCAGCGACGCCGAGGAGGTCGCCCAGGAACCTCGCCGCGGGGACGGTGGCGAGCAGTGGGAAGAGGAAGACGTGGAAATCGGAGTGTTCCGAGGGCCCAATTCGGTTGAGTGCGTCGGCCGATGGAGTCAAGAAATCGCCGATTCAGGGGAGGAAGTTGAGATCTGAAGGGAGCAGCGACGGAATTGCGAGGAGTCCCGTTCAGGTGAGCAAGAAAGGAAGATCTGAAGTAGTGGGAAGCTCTTCCGTTGTTTCCCCGATTCAGATTGGGAAGCTGAGATCCGCTGGAAATTCTGGGAAAGAAGTTGAGAATTCGCCGGTGAAACTGGAATCGAAGGTCGGTGGTGGTGAAACGAAGGAGGAGAAATCAGTGCCTGAGAAGGAATTGGACGAATCTGTTTGTCAAATTGAGAAGAAGCCATCTGAAATTGAGGAAACAGAGGAGAGTTGCAGGGAGTTTGGCGTTTGTGAAGAGAAGGTGGTTTCTTCTGCGACCGTAGAAGACGATCGCGCCGACAGTGATCAGGACTTCGAAGAAGAAGAGGAGGAGGAGGAGGAATTCGAAGAAGAGACGGACGTGGAAATTGAGAAGAAGAGCTTCGATGTTAAGGAGATTAATGTTCAAGAACACGAGAAGCCAAAAGAGAAGAAATTCGAAGAGAAGAAAATCCCGATTCCTGAGCAGAAGCCGACGAAAGGAGTTGTTCACCGTCAGTTTCACAACAGAGCTCCACCGCCGGCTCCGCCGACCGTGAACAAACAGACGCCTCCGGTGATGAGAAGAGCTGCAGCTTACCAGAATTTCACTAAACCCACTCCTACTCCAGGTAGAATCACGAAAACAGAGCACCTGCAAAAATTCTCCCTAAACTTTTCAAAATTTTCAGAAAGCGTCTCTCTTTTCCGTTTCAGCTCCATCTCCAGCTCAACCCAGGAGTTACCCAAGAAGGCAAAGCAAGCTCCAGAATCTGGGTCAGATCCCTTATCCACAACCATCCCCAATCTCTCCCTCTGCACAAAATTCGTCTCTTACATACATTTTCTCGGGAAAATTCGTTTCTTTTCCCCTCTTCTGCAGTGGATTTAGTGATGTGGAGAGACGTGTCGAGATCAGCATTCGTGTTTGGAATCGGAACATTCACCATAATCTCATCTTCCTACACGCAGGATCTCAACATCAGGTAATTCAATTCACTACATCCCAAATTCAATTCCTTTTACCTCTGTTTCTTCTTACCAAGGAAACAGAGTAACCATTTTTTTTTTATAATCCTCTCTGTTATTTTCCCCCCCATCACACAGCTTCATTTCTGTGATGTCTTATCTGGGGCTGGTTTACCTCGCCGCAATCTTCCTCTACAGAACCCTTATTTCCAGGTAATTTGGGGGGAAAAAAGATCAAAATTTTAGGTTAATCCAAAATTGTAGTTTGGCAACGTAGTAGGTTTCAGGTTGAGTAATCATACTCCGTGCTAGTTCGAGTAATCGGTTAGGTCTCGTCAAGCTTGATCATCGACGAACGCACTCATCCAGATCATTCGAATTGCGAGTCAATCGAGTTAGAGTTTAATGTCGGTCGGTTGACATTGTAGGTTGAATGTCTCTCTAGTTTTTTTTTACAGTGGTGATATTTTTTTGCTGTTACAGGGGAATTGTGGAGGGAGATGATGGTTATGAGGACACCGGGAGCTACGTGGTTGGCGAAGGGGAGGCAATCTGTGTGGTGAAGTTGGTCCTGCCGTACCTGAACGAGTGCCTGCTCAGAATCAAAGCCCTGTTTTCCGGCGATCCTTCCACCACCATGAAGGTAAAACAGTAAAAAAGTAAAGAGTACAAAATGTACAATCTTACAGTGATGATTGATGTGAGCGAACTTTTTTTACTTACACGTCAAATTGCTGGTGGCAGTTGGCAGTCCTGCTGTTCGTTCTTGCCAGGTGTGGCGGCTACATTACCGTCTGGAAAATGGCCAAATTGGGTAATTTTTTTTTTTTTTACCTTTACCTTCCTTTCTATATAACCTTGGTTAGGTATTTTCAATTTTGTTACTGTCAAGTATTTATGACTTTTTAACCTGACACGTGGCTGCGCTGCAATTGGGATGCACAGGATTTTTCGGGGTTTTCATACTGCCAAAAGTCTGCTCGTCGTACTCCAGCCAGTTAACCTCTTACGGTAAAAAAAAAAAAAAAAATTACTTTCCTCCTAATCTTTTTAGTTTTTTTACTGTTTACTGTCGGTCCAGTAGTTACTCTTGTCCACGTTTCCCGAGCGAGAGAGCTATTATTCCATACCGTTAGTGCATGGATGTCACCCGTGCAGTCGCACTCATGACGAAAGAACGTAGATGTGGTGACCACTTACCTATTTATTTTCTCCTTTTTTTCTCAACCACCTGTTTTTTGGAACAATATCGGAGATCAAATCGGTGAGACTAATGATCGTGTGTGTTTTCCCTCTCGTGAAGCCAAGTTCTGGATTCGACGATTTCGCGACGCGTGGGAGAAGTGCACGCACAAGAAGGCCGTGGCATTGGGCATCTTCACCTTGGTGTGGAACATGTCGTCGATTGTGGCTCGTGTTTGGGCTGGTAAGTGTCGAACGTACGAAAAAGAACCTTTTCGGTCTTTTTCGATTTAACTGATCGGGGTAAAACGGATAACATCCTCGCGGTTTGATTTTTTTTACAGTGTTTATGATGTTCGTGGCTGTTCGATATTACCAACAACGTGTGGCGCAAGACAGTGAGAATTGGGAGGAGTGTGATGATTATAACGAAGAAGAAGTTACTGTAGGTGATGCGAAGGAGGAAGATTTTGGGCCGAGACGCCGGCCCAATTATTTTGAAGTAAATAGTAAAGTAAAAAAGAAATACTAGTTAGGGTGAAAAAAGCTACATTACTACAAGATTAATAAAAAGTTACCCTACCTCCGATTTGTTACCATTTCCATGCTGTTGCTTGTTCATTCCACTTGTTTGTTTTGGTATTGGGCTATATATGGCCCAACTTCTTTTCCAACATGCCAGCCCATTAATAAAGGCCCATGGACATTTCTCGTAAGACGATCCAGTTTTGTCACTCCCCAGCCCACGTATCAGCCCATATCTACCCCATGCGGTTTTTTATTGGTTACGGAATAACAGAAAAATTCTCCACTAAGCGAACAACCGTTCTCTCTCCCTCCCTCTCCTTTCTCTTCCCCCGCAGACACCGCGGCGGTTTTCCGAGCTCGCGCTTCTCTCAAATGTCTCTTCGTCAACCCTAACTCAACCTATTAACCAGTCACTCCCTCGACGAAGGCGGGATATTCCGACACCGGCGCTGCGTCTTCTATCGCTCTTTCGGGATTCGGAATCAGCCATAAGAGAAAACGCGCCTTCGTGCTAGAAATTGGCGTTTCTGTAGTTGTGGAACTACCGTTTTCTCCGGCGAGAAGGAGGAGAGGGAACTAATTTATTTCGTGAATCAGAGTTCAGAGCAAGAGGTTCTGGTTTTCTGAACTCAATACAGGTCAGTTCCTCCGGAAACTTCTTTCCGTTTTCTAGCAATAGGCGAACTAGACCTGGTAGTTTTCTTTAGAGCTTGACCTAATTAGGCGGTGGTGCGGCTCTGATATGTCGACTAGTGATCTCGAAGCTTTTTTTGGGAATGTTCTGTAGTGACGGTTTTGAACTTAAGAGTAGTGAAACTCGCTAGTCGGTGGCTTTGTGGATTTCTTTGGAGCTTATGTTACGAAATTGCAGTTGCACTACAAAACCTGGATTCCGTTTTTTCATTGTGATTTTGCTGTATTTGAGAATGGTATTTGAGTTGGTGGTCCTTTGTGGTGCAGATGAGTCTTGTGACTGATTCTCCGGTGAGCTCATCTGGCAGTGATGATTTTGCTGATTTCCTTGACGATCATCTTGATGCTGAATCTGATAATGAAGACGACAATGGAGAAGCTAAAGATGAGTTTGCTTCTAGTTCTTCATCCTCCTCTTCCAGCGAGGATGAATGGGAAGATGATGATCAACCTGTAAGCAAGAGGTACTAGTGGACTTCCTTGGCTGTTCTAGTTCTGTTTGCTGCTCCATCTGCCTCTACTCACTTATTTCGTATTGTATGTTTTGTTTGAGCTACAGAGGATGAAGAATCATATGTAGCTGTGTATATATGTTGTCGGATTACTTGATTCGCTCTGAAAAATTAGGATTTTGTTTTGGGTTCAGACCAGTGAAAATGACTTGACAATTCATATACAGGACAAAGATTTCAGAGGTGGAGATAGTGCAAAATGGAGATGCTGCTGAGGGGTCAGCTTCTCATGTGATCGTGGAGCAGAAATTAGGTACATTCTAAGCATATAACTTCTGACTTCATATTAGGTACCTGGCCTTTTACGAATCTTGTAGTTAATGTCATGTCTAGGCATGTGCTTACTTCTTACTGCTCACCATCATCTCATTTTTTCCCCTTCTGCCACAGAATGTCCATCCTTGTTGTCTTAGTTTGTAATGGTTTATCTTTTCCCTGCATCTGTTTGCTTCTGTGAATTGTTTAATGCTGTAAACCGTAATGTCCAGCAACTCAGTTTATGCTCTTTGATCTTGTATTTTGCAGAGGCATCATCAAGTGCATCTGTCAGCAAGAATGAATGTACACATCCAGGGTCTTTTGGTAAAATGTGCATAGTTTGCGGAGCACAGGTTGAGGTTTCTGGGGTATCATTTGCAAACATACACAAGGTATGCATTTCTGTAAATGACTGCTGTGTACGTTCTAACTTAGTCGAAACAAATATATCTTGAGTCAAACTTACATGTACCCTTTTCTTATATTCTGCACTTGGTGTGATAATTGAATAAAATCCGAACTTGCAGGAAATTTTGATTGGGAATGCGGAAGTTGCTCGATTGCGAGATACTGATACCAAGAGTGTGTTGTGCCGCAAGAAGCTTTATTTGGTACTTGATTTGGATCATACATTGCTGAATTCTACTCTTCTTTCTCATATGGTCCCGGAAGAAGGGTATCTAAACAATCAGATAGACTCTGTACAAGGTAAGCTCAATTCGATATTAATGGTGTTTTGTGCTCCTAATCCTCTCGTTATCCGCCTTGTATCTGTTTGTAAATGATCTCACCTTCTAATTTGATTAATATTTTGCTATGTATTCATTGCCAATTTCCTGTTTATTTAGCCAGCTTTATTGCATTTTATTGATGTTGTGTATTTTCATTTCACAGACTGTCAAAATGGAAGCCTATTTAGGTTGAGCTTCATGCACATGATGACCAAGCTTAGGCCCTATGTGCACACTTTTTTGAAGGAAGCTAGCCAGATGTTTGAGATGTATATATACACTATGGGAGACAAGGCGTATGCACTGGAAATGGCCAAATTACTTGACCCGAAAAATGAATACTTCCACGCCAAGGTAATTTCTCGGGATGATGGCGCTCAGAGGCATCAGAAGAGTCTCGATATGGTACTGGGAGAAGAAAGTGCCGTTCTGATTCTCGACGATACCGAAAATGTGAGTGTATCCGCAGCAGAATATTATTTAAATTTCCGACACAAGTTTGAATGATTATCTCAAACAAATGAAGTGTGTGAGATATTCTTACGAGGAGTTTTTGTGTGATATAGGTGTGGCCAAGCCATCGAGACAACTTGATACTGATGGAAAGATACCATTTCTTCGCGTCGAGCTGTCGACAATTTGGGTTCGGATGCAATTCCCTCTCTCAGCTGAAAAGCGACGAGAGTGAACACGAAGGAGCACTTGCTGCTGTTCTTAACGTCTTGAGGAGAGTTCACCATATCTTCTTCAACGTATGTTGTCTCCTAGTATCTTTCTTTGAATGTTCCTTGTACCACGTGTGCACCCCAGTTCGTGCAACTCAAGTATAAACTGCCTTTTGGGTCGTTGCAGGAATTGGCCGACCAAACCGGTCGACGGGATGTGAGACAGGTCCTGAAAACTGTTCGGAAAGACATTCTAAAGGGGTGCAGGATAGTGTTCAGCCGGGTCTTCCCATCCCAGTTCCCAGCCGAGAGCCACCATCTCTGGAAGATGGCGGAGAAGCTCGGAGCTACGTGCGCCACAGAGGTCGATCCATCCGTCACCCACGTAGTTGCCATGGATCCCGGTACGAAGAAGTCGCGCTGGGCGCTGGAGAACGACAAGTTCTTGGTCCTCCCGCGGTGGATCGAGGGGGCTAACTACCTTTGGCAGAGGCTGCCGGAGGAGAATTTCCCCGTGAAGAGCAATGAACCCCCCAAGTCGGAAGCTAAGGTCAAAGATCCTGATGCTTAGCGCTTTAAACCCTCTGATCCAAAAGTTTTCTTTCCTGTTTTAGAAACCTCTAATTGGAATTCGGCTTATAGCTTCACTGGAGATGTACATAGCAGCTTCCTTTCTAAGTTGGGTATTACAGAGAAGAACCTTTGTTGCCTGACCGTGGCCGGGGCTTTCTAGAAAGCCCAATAAGAAGATACGGGCTCGAGGACACTGTGATTGGTGGGCCGGCATTGATCCGTAGGGCATTGGGATCTGGGCCTGGAAATGCCAGCCTGTTTAGCGACTGTGTTCTTCCCCGTCTTCTCTGTGTGCGTGTGTCCAGCTCATGGGCTCTTTCTTTGTTGCGTTGGTGCGAATCATCGAGAGACTAGATATGATATTTAACGTGTCAAGATTAACTGCATTTTCATGTGCAACTACAAGTTAACATTTCATGTTAAAAGAGATTTTGTTCTCGAGTCCCTTCCCAGTAATGATTTCATCGTGTTTCATATAAGAGTTTGTGAATGTCAAATTCAGCTTTTCTCTTGTTGTTAAGCATGTAGGGATGGCAACAAAACCCAAACCCACGGCTATCCACCTGACCCAATCAGGTCAACGCGAGTAAAATCCGTGCTGACGGGTTTTGGGCCGGGTTTGGGTTTAAACTCGTTCACTATTCACCGGGTTGGGTTTGGGTTTAGGCAAACCCGACCCATGGGTACCCGCCCACACTTATATAGTTAATTTTCTCGGTATATCTAATATTGTAAACAACTAATCTTATTTATGTTTGTGGAGACATGTCTAATTTTTTCTTTCTAATTGTGTAGAATGAAGTTGATGTCATCCAGTGGAGAGTGAATAAACTTAATTGAAAGGAAGAAACTTTCAATTAATCATGTTATTTATGGATAATTTGTGATTTTCTTTAATTTTATTGAGTTTTCTAGATTGGTGTTGAAAAATTTGTATAATTAATTTGTGATTTGCTTGAATTTTCTAGAATGGTGTTTTATATATGGATAATTTGTATTTAGAGATTGATATTTAACTTTAATTTTGATAGGAACTTGTTATTGTAATTTTTTTACGACAAAAACCCGTGGGTACCCATGAACCCACGGATACCCAGCGGGTGGGTTGGGTTTGAGTTTTTCAAACCCAGTGGGTTTTACCGCGGATTTTTTCACGGATAAACCCATGGGTTTGGGTTTGGCAAAACCCGACCCAACCCGATCCATTGCCATCCCTATAAGCATGTCTAACTTGTTATTGTACATTGATTGCATGTGGCACGATACAATCAAAAGATTAGACTATTAAATAGACAAAACAAGTACGAAGAGATGTCAGCAAGACATAGATGAAATTTCAAATGACTTTTTTTTTTTTTTATCAATAAGGATTATTATGTTTGTTCTTCCAATTAAGAGACAAGCATGAGATGGGGAATTGTTGAGGTGAGCAATTGATCCAACCAATTGGTTAGGTTGGTCACATGCAACTTGGTTAGGCAATTTCATGTTAGAATTCCCCCATTTTTTTGGGTACCTAAAATTAGTTGTCCCATGGCCCTCTTATACAATCCTTAGGGTGGAAATTCTCAGCCAACTCAACTTCTTTTGTTCTACCTATTTCCCCATGTGTGTTTACAAGAGGACGAATGAAAGATTCCATGGAAATTTGGCCATGGAAAGTGATTTTTGAGAGAGAGCATGGCAACTTTCAAGATCAAGACAAATTATGGAAACGAAAGCCCCATTTTCCCTGATTATGGGGCACATGCAATTAGCCCGTAATCATTGGGTTAGTTTAGTTCTAAGAGATTTCATTATGTTATATTGTAGTGTGCACGAGACATCTTGAATTGGCAAGAATGCGTTATAATAGAGTCAAGTGCAGAACTATCTTATCCAACTCAAAATTTCGACATATTCAACTTGACATCGTGTTGGAACTTCCCATGATGTCGATCAACTGCGCCGGTAATATCTTCATATATGCTTGATTAAGTTTTTTGCTAAGATAAATTCAAAATTGAAATGTGATACATGATGGCATCTACTCTTTGTTAAATGTGATTAGTTCTTAATTAAGGTGGCTCTTTTGGGTTTCCTATGAAAACAAACCACAAACCAGCATGCAACAGTTAAACATCTTTGTCGTTCATGTCATGTTTATATATTTGACTCATTGAGTAGTTAACAGCAAGACTTCTCTGGCTACTTGTTGGGTGAGGCTTGAGAGCGCGACAGCACAGAGAATAAAAGGGAATCTGAAATTATAATTGAAAAAAAAAAAACAAATTTATGAAAATATTGGGTGAACCAGAACATTTTATATTGTTATTTTTTATTAGTACTAAATATAGAAAGATAAGGCATACATTATTGTTGTACCAATATTTACACTTGTCATCTGGACAGTTTTCCATCAACCAGAATACGGGCACTAGTCAATTTTTCACCCTCAATATTTCTTCCTGGCCTCAAATCATTTTATGTAAAATCTCATTTTAATAGGGAAAAATCATGATACTTCAAAACACTAATTAATAAAAATAAATCATATCCTAGCTAAGAGGTGGTGTGGTGGAGGGTTTCTGTTTAGCTTGGGATTATTTTTGTAGGTTGAATTATTTTTGCACCGTTTGTTTGTACCAAACCAGTGGATAGAGAGAGTCGTCTGTCACTAGTTCATATATTTTTCAAAAAAAGATCACCTTGTCTAAGCTAGGAAATGATTTTTGTTAGCTTGGGATGTTGAACTTCGAAGAGTCGGTCTGTAGAATTTCTTTGTACCGTTTGGTTGCATCAAAGCAGTGGATAGAGAGAGTCGTCTGTCACTTATTTCACATACTTATCGAAAAGATTACATGATTTTGACGAAATATTATCATACTAACATATCCAAAATGTAGCTGCAAGGTTGCATTTCTCCTTTTTTTTCTCTTTATTGTGATACTAACCACATATACATGATTACTTACTGATATTATTGTACCGTCGCTTATAAACGAAGGATAGGATGCGTCTGAATCTCGTTGGTCCAAAAATTCCATGAAAGAGGAAGAAGAAAGGAATATCAATATGAAATAGAAATTTAATTTCCACAAGCAAACATATAGATTGCAAAAAATAAAAAAATACAGATGTCCCAATAGGAATCAGCAACCTCTTGATTTGAATCTTTCATAATCTTCAGTATTCTTGCATGTTCCATTCCCATATGCATTGAGTGTTGTTCTTTTGTTTCCATCCCAGACTTACATATAATTATTTTTCTCCCTCAATAATATTTTTATTTTTTTGCTAGTTACGAATGTATGTCAAATAAGTGCTCATCTGGGAAGTTCTCTCTCTTTTGTGGACGTAAATCAATCATCGGACAAATCATATTAGTTATTATGCACGTTTGATTGATCTCTTCCGACAAGTATTTGTGCAAATTTTAAGATCTTATAAGTAAAATTTTTTATTGGATGTATAAGCAAATGTATCGATTAGGTCTATTCGTAGACCTCTTTGCTTTCAACCACTCGAGTTATTTGCTAACTGGGTGACAGTCAACCAAACCTAACTCCAAATGTAATAGCTAAAGGGACATGTTCAAAAGGGCAAGTTAGCTCAATCATTTAGTCTATCAATCCCAAAAACTTTCTTTGCAGCATTTATGGGAATATTATATGAAACAAACATCTCACCAAAAACTCTAGGACAAGGTCAGGATACTATAGTAATTTGAGTAACTAATAACTTTGATTAATCACCAATCCTCATTGTTAATCAAACCATTAGAAAACAAAACCATGCCCTAAACCAACTTTGTTTACTATATTCCACATTGTACACTCCGCTGGCTTTTTTTCTTTGATCTCATTAGTATCAAATTCGTGGCTCTCGTTAATTTGTATGGACCCTCCAAATTCTTATTAAATATACATGATAGGGTAGATATTTTAAGTGACTTGATTATTTAATCATACTTATTAGTTATATATTTACTTGAGTGATGATGCATTGTGTCAATGGTTATTGTTAATAAAGCAATTGGGCTTTTTGGCTTGGTCAAAATTAGGTCTAGTTATGCCAATCCATATCCTTTAGTGGATTGACATCAACATCACTGTTTGATTTTTACTATGACATAAAATCATGAGTTGAGTTTGAGTTATCACCACTATAAGCTTTTTCCTTGTCTTCTTTAGGGTTGGCTGTTGATGTGATTTGAATCGGACTATCAGCCGCTACGACTGGTAATCAGGGGTCTCGCTGCCCGGTCAGCGAGGGGGTCCAGGGGCAACGCCCCGGTGGGGTGCGGGGGCAACGCCCCCGGCCCACGGTGTATGGGCTCAATGTTCTTTGGGTTCGGGTTCTGGGCCTGGTCTGTAACCTTTACCTTTGCTAGATTGGATTAGGTTTAGACCCACATGGAGAAGTACTATAAATACTTCTCATACTCCTCTGTAATCTGTAATCTCCTTGATATAGTGAAACTGGCTCTCTCTCGCCCGTGGACGTAGCTAACACACATCGTGTTAGTGAACCACGTAAATCGTGTGTCTGTGTTTTTCGATTCTCGCTTTCGTATTCTTGCTTTATCGATTCCGACGATTTCCCGATCCGTAGCAGCGCGTTTATAACATTGGCTATTTGGTCCAGTCTTTTTGATTTTACTTAAAACCAGATTGTATAATCTGGCCTAAGACCGGACCGGGACCGGAAAGCAAACAATCAATCTCATATTCGGGCTTAGATTTGTGGTAAAAAAACCGTTCGGGACAGGACCGAAAACCGAATAAGACCGGATAAGAGAGCTCAACACCCAAAACTTAACCAACTCCTCACCCTTTCAAGCCTCAGGCCACTCAAATCCCAACAAGCTCAATCTAAAATCAAAATCGAATTGAAATCGGACCGGATCAAGATCATACTGTATCCAATCAAATCTTTAATCCTTATATTTCCGGAAAAACCGGACTGAAACTGGATCAATTCGGGTCAATTTAACCAGACCTTATAGCCACCCCTAGTCTTCTCCCCTCGCTTTGTTTAGTTTCCCTGCCTACAATATCAGTTTCGAATTCTCTCAAAATGCTCTTTGTGATTGAAAGGACATATAATTACACCATTTCTACCAATTCATCAATCATAAATCAAGGTATGAGAATCAGTCTAGCTAGTTAGTGTCGAATTCTCTCAAAATATCCTTCTACAATAGGTTCTACTTCATATTTCAATTATTAGGTTCTTCACGATAAATTCATCACTTACTAGCTAGCATGGTCAAAATATAATGTCATGTTGGTACTTCTTCTATCCTTACATTTACTCATGTTGTAAATTCATCTCCCGATCGACTTCCAACACACTCTAATTTCGCCTCTAGTTTTCTAATACACATCCATCATCCATCAGAATTCAATCATACCAGATTCTGTCCGCAAAAACACATCAATATAACTTGGCCATGTCGTCTCCATATGGTCCCATATAACCTAATTGAATTTGACGTCGTCGATTAAGACTTTGGAAATAAGTTAACATATTGTTTTTCTTTTTTCTTCTCATTTTGTTCAAAGCTTATTGGATCTTCCTTTTCCTCTTGGTATGAGTCGACAAAACGATATATGGTGCTTGTTGATGTGGCTTTTAGTAACCAAAGAACTCACATATGATTTAACAACTTGATTATGAAAAGCCATCTTACAATTTTAGACCATAAATTTAACCTTATATGCCAGAAAATATTACTCGTGCATGTCTACAGTTGATATATAGTTAATTGACATGCCAATAATTAAGGTATAATTACTACCGCATGCTTAAGATGGCGTTTGACTCCTCTGGAAAATATATATGATTAGAACGAAAATTAATGTATGTGTTTGAATTTTGTATCGATCCATCGTACTTGTGAACGGATGGAGAATTCGAATATTTGAACCGACGTCATATTAAAAACCAATTGATTTCAAAACACCAAGATGTAGTCCACTATACAAGAACTCAAGAAGTTGGGATTATAGAGTGTGTGGAGCAAACTAATTCCACTAATACCAAATGATAGTTACGTAATATTATTTTTATCATTATGAAACAAACACCACACTATGTCGACGAGCTATGTTGGACGGTTTGTCATCGAGGAACAGCCTAATTAATTATCATGATCATGATTTCTTCTGTGTTAAATAATTATTAACCTCTCATCATATCGCCGGTTGAATAGAACTTAACCGCAAATTTCCATCCACAAACCAACACCTAATTATTAATTATATATTTACTAATTATGTTTTGTAATGAAAGAACTCTATGTTTCTAGGCAGGAAATGGCGTGTAAATTGAGATTACTATTTCTATATAATATTTCCCAATTCTGTGTCGGTAATGATCAATAATTGAAGTTTCCATTGTGTGTGTATTGTCAACCCGATTTAATTATAATTAACAAAAAGGTAATCCAACTTAATTAATTTTAACGATAAATAGTATTCTCTGAGTTTTTCCTCCGTGTGATGTACGTACAACATGCATGTGAATGAAGATTGCGATTGAGATAACTTTTGTGCTTAATAACATCCATTAAGTTTGAGGAGAAGAAATGTGATGTACGTACAACGTACAAGTAATTAATGAGTACTTCTACTATACTATATTTTTTTTTGCATTACAGGAGGCGGAATCCGCCAAAGAAGAGCAAAGAAGGGGGGTTAAGAGGAAAGAGCAGGGGCAAGCGTTCCGGGAACAATCCGGCGCTCAAAACACACCCCCCTAACATCATTCTACTATACTATATAGTATTGGTGCTTTAACGTACAACTTAAAGTTGTACCATAACATTAAATGTATAAGTTTAAGTTGTACCATAAAGCAATTTGTATCATTATGTTATGATACAACTTTACAACTTGAAGTTGTACCATCACATAAAGGTACAAGTTCAAGTTGTACCATAAGAGAATTTGTACAAAAAGTATAGGTACAATTTGAAGTTGTACCATAACGTAAATGTACAATTTTAAGTTATACCATAAAAGCAAAAACTTATAGCACCAATACTATATAATATTGTAAAATTTCTCGTAATTAATATCGATGATGATAACTTTTGTGCTTCTAGATAAGAGAATAGAATAGGTAACCAAACATATAAAAATTTGCAAAATAAACAAAATGAAACTAAAGAATTCTTTCTCTCCTATTGTAGTGCCTTAGTGATGTTATATTTCAATTAAAACCATGATGATTGGCTTTTAAAAAAGCAAAGGCAAGATGAGTTACGGAAACCCCATTATTGATGTTATGTTTCTATCCATTTAAGCTTTTGGGTTTTGATGATGGAGTAAGAGGTTGGTGTGAATGAAAGAATTATAAGGAGGGAGCTTGGGTGGAAAAAAAATCAAACTTTTGGTTAGATAGTCCTTAATTTCCCCCGTAAGCATAGCTCGTATTAATGTTAGGGGTTATGTAATTGGTTCTTATCAATTATCATGGTATCAGAGTGTTCTACAATTAAGAGATTTTTTATTCCAATTCCGATGATCTCATTCTCTTCTGGTAAGCACATGATATCCGGACTTGTGCAAACTTCAAATCCGTATATTATAATTTTCGTTATTGAAATCAACTGATTTTTGTCAACCATCAAACGACATTTCGAATAGCCAACAACTCAACCCTGATAGGAAATAAAATAAGAAGACAAAATCCGAAATGAAAGAAAAATAGATGTGATGCGGAAAAGCACACGATTGATCAAGTGGTCATGTCCGAAGCAGAGAGGATTACATAAGCGATATGTGAAAACCTGTGGATGAAAGGAATGTGTATTTGTGGCACAAAATGAACACTGAGAAATCATTGAACTCCATCCATCCATTCATCTCAAGAAGTTGAAATATGAAATATGTGGTGACGATGATGATGGCCAGAGAGCTACTGCCAAATTCCTAACTGAACTAACTACAAACAAAACCTCCTCCGGGACATGATCAATGCCGGTGGTTCGACCTAATTTCGAGAGGGAATATCGTCCTCAATCATACACAGATTCCACAGACTGACGGATATACATCGTGATTAAGGATAATTGATGGTACTATAAGATATTCGTCATGAATGCAACACTAGATCAATCGGCAAATAATATGTTATGGGACAATCCAAGTACCACATCGGAAATACATGGGAAGGAACCCTTGTATATTAGTGTCCACCAATCTCATTAGTACGAGGCCTTTTGGGGAGGACACCCAAAAGTAAATCCGTGCGGGCTTGGCCTAAAGCGGACAATATCGTACTAATTGAGCGCCCCGATTCTGACAAGTGGTATCAGAGTCTGGCTCGGTGCGGGGCGGTGGACGTCAGTTTGGTGGACCCTCATTCGGTGGCTTCGGGATTTGCGATCTGCGTCTGGTTTGGTGGATTCACGAGAGATCCATGTTTGGGCTCATGATTTGGCGGATCAAAGAGAGTTCCGCGTCTGGAAAAATCCTTGTAACGAGAGGCCCATCGATAAAAGGTGTATGGCGGATCAAGATAATCGCTGAGGTGAGGACACGATGTTCGTGGTCCTTGGCTTGAGGGGAGGATTGTTATGGGACAATCCAAGTACATGGGAAGGATCCCTTGTATATTAGTGTCCACCAATCTCATTAGTACGAGGCCTTTTGGGGAGGACACCTAAGAGTAAAACCGTGCGGGCTCGGCCCAAAGCGGACAATATCGTACTAATTGAGCAGGCCCCGTCGTGGTCCTTGGCTTGAGGGGAGGATTGTTATGAGACAATTCAAGTACCACATCGGAAATACATGGGAAGGAACCCTTGTATATTAGTGTCCACCAATCTCATTAGTACGAGGCCTTTTGGGGAGGACACCCAAGAGTAAAACCGTGCGGGCTCGGCCCAAAGCGGACAATATCGTACTAATTGAGCAGGCCCCGTTATGACATAATACAATAAATTTATTACAATAACTCAATTATTAGAAAACAATTCAGTATGACTCAGCCCGAATGCACCACTTAAAAACTCTCGATTAAGGTCCAAGTATAATCCTTAACCAGGTGCAGTACAGGGCAAGTATGTTTAAATATATACCCGGGCTGGTTCATGTACCCCTACTTCGATTGTTTGAAACATTATCTCGCGGTTGATTTTTGGTGAAAACAACAATATAAAGTTAAAGTGCTTGCAAAGACAAAAGGATTTGACACAAATTGAGAAGACTTCACCTGGGTGTTGTTCCCCCTAACTAGCAATTACGACTTCATGGATCGAATGGGCGTGTATGGTGAGAGGGTTGTAAACCGTAGGGAAGTCTAACAAGTAGCCAAACCCACCCTCTTAGTCTCTATGTCGAGGAAAGGGGATACGATCCAAGCCACCCATGTGACTCTCTCAACCTATTGACTAAGGATTGGTTAGACTTCACCCCTCGAATCAGAGTACGGATGGTCACCCAAAACCAAACCCTAGGTGCTAATACAAAATAGGAGGTTTGTCATGCACTAACCTAACTAGGAGACAATGAATTGCCTAAGAAAATCCACTTTGAGATTCAAAATTGAAATCTTCATGTTCGAAATCCGTGATTGTACCATCAGACCAAATCATCAATATTTTGAATGATCGACAAAAATACAATTAAAGAGGACTAATCAATAATCAAGCATCGATCGATCGGGGACCCCTTTTCTCATCATTATTGTATCAAACTTCCAAAATCCAAATGACCCAATCAATTTCACAACCACTAGCTAGCTCGGAACAACATTTTGCTCGCCAAATCACCGGTTGTCACTAGGTCCTTGATAGTTTCACAAGCATAAAATATCAAAGAAAAAAGGATTGAATGAGATATGTTGTCCTTTTACTAATATTTTTTACGACTATGACGTAACTTGATTTTTATATTGAGGTGTTACTGAAAGGATATGCGAGCTTGATATTTCCATATTCAAGACTAGTAATATTGTTCTCTTTCGAGTTTTGGCCTTCTCTTTCTACGACCTGACATGAATCACCAATATTGCGTTTCTTTTGATGGAAAATCAATTCTGATAATGGAGTAGTTGGCAAGTGGTTGTCGTTCCTATTTATAGTATTAGCACAAGCCGCTCGCTGTCGCTTAACCTGTGAGCGAGAACATTAATATTTTAAACCGTGATAGTTTGAATGCTGAACCATTAGTGAAAGGATACTTTGTTGTGTGGGATGACAGTGGTTAGTTTAATGGAAGGAGGATTTGACATTGTTTTGAATGTTATGTTGTTTTTTTAGTGCGATAGATTGGTGAAATCATATGGTGCAAACGGTCCGAATCCGACCGTAAAAATATCCTACCAATAATAGGTTTTTAGCCATATAAAAAGATTGAACCAATACAAAATAACTTACGACCAGCGGTTTCCCAATCCTTGATTTCTTTTCTACTTCTAATTAGGCATCTTCTTTTCCTTTTACTGTACTTCTTCTTATAGCAAAGCTTGTTTAAATCAATTCAATAGTCCCAAATGATTCACCTGCATGCCGCCAAACCAATAGCAACAATTGAGTAGGACACATGATTCCCACCATAACCACATTGGATCCATAATATTATTCGACTCTCTTCCTCTAGTGTCAAACTGATTTATACTGTTACGTCGAAGCAAGTGAAATGGTTCGACCGATGGTAAAAAAATTTGTACAGGTTCATGTATGTTTAACAAAATATACAAAAATGTTAAAAATCAATAATATCAAATGAGTTTAATTATATATAAAAACATATTTGTAGATAGTTTACTTACGATTCATATTCATATTGACAATAAATACGACATTCCAAATAAATTAATAAATACTCATATTTAAATACAACATTTAACGTCAATACCTAAACGTTTATACTTGATCCAAAAAAATGACATCAACATTTAACTGTTGAATTCACGAAATAAATAATAAACTAATTTTTTTATTAATTAAATTAACTGAAACAACATCATTTTGCTTAGAGGTCATAAATAAATCATGTCAATCATACCAGTGTTATTTACACTGGTTTCATGACCAATACCGATTCAACCAAATTCAATCGGCCAACATTCGACCATAGTGAACTACATGATAAATTATTCATCTCTCCCTCCCTCCCTCCTTGCTTGCATATATAACTTCAAGCTCCGCAGCTGCTCCTACCAAACTATCAATCCTTACCTAAAAGAAGAAAGAAAATAAGAAGAAAAATAAAAGCCATGGAAGTAAACATCCTTGAGACCACCATCGTGAAGCCAGCCAATGACAAGGAAGAGACGAGCTCTCCTCCTGGCCAGCGACTCTGGCTGTCCAACTTGGACCTCGTGCACGGCAGGATTCACCTGCCGCTGCTGTTCCTCTACAAGCGGGACCTCAACAGCCTGGCGTCGCACGATTTCTTCGACGCCAGGTTGCTGAAGGAGGCACTGAGTCGAGCCCTCATCCCCTTCCACCCTCTGGCCGGGAGGCTGGCCAGAGATGAGGAGGAGAGAATCGAGGTGGACTGCAACGGCAAAGGTGTGCTGTTCAAGGAAGCCGAGGCTCCGGAAATAGGGTTGGATGAGATCGATGATTTCATGCCGGCCTCCGAGCTGCTCAAGTTGGTGCCAAGAGTTGATTATGCAGAAGAGATCTCTTCTTACCCTTTGTTACTCCTTCAGGTAATTCACTCATAAGGAAGTGCTTTAGTACATAATTGAGTTGTTTTGTTAGGGACTATACTAAGCATCTCCATCAATGCAATTGCAAAAGAAATTGCATTTGTGTTTTTTATTGTCAACTCAAATTTTTTGCAATCCACATCACATTCATTTCATTCATCTACATCAATGCAATTAATTTGCAATTGCAAATGTAATTATATATTATGTTTAAATTATAGAAAATTAATTAAAAGAGAAAAGAAAACAATATAAAATAGAAAATCCCCATTTTTAAGGCTTTTTTTACTTGCATATGGAATTGCATTTGTTGCAAGCTTGCAAATATGCAATTGGTAGCCACATCAATGCAATTGGTTTTGCAAATGCAAACACCTATGCCATGTCATTTTGCAATTGAGAATGAAATACCAATGTGGATGCTCTAAGTTGAATGCAAATCCGCAACATCAATCCGATATTTGGACAGGCTCGAATCGGACCTAATATATGACGGTGTGGTACATTGATCACATGCAGTTTGTGAATGTGAACAGAAAAAATGTACCATATCGATATTTATACAGCATTTATGATCTGGTTATATGATCCTTAATTTTTATTATTAATGAATGGAGGATCACTGTTCGATCCAATTCAGATGCGAAATCGAATCATTGCTCACACCTATGTTCAGGCAATTGATCACTATCCTTCGTTTTCTAAGTCTTTTGATTAAATGATGTACTCTTCCAACAAAATTAATTAGCGCGTGTGTAAACGAGGTGTTCTACCTAACTAAGTTATAGCCCTTGTGCTTGTGGTACTCATTTTATCATGTGACAAATTTATTGTGAAGATGAATATTAGATGACCTTCTATCTTTTTTTATATATTTGTTTGATCAGTATTGTTTCGAAAAAATATCTGATTTATAATCCATTGATACAAGAGTTTTGTTTTTCTTTCTCTCTTTTCTTTGTGTTGATAAATGACCTACTTAATTTAGTAATTCGAGTATTCCTTTTCTTTCTCTTTTAATGTGTGTGTGGATTTCCTAAGGTCACAAGGTTCAAATGCAATGGAGTATGCCTCGGGATCGGCACCCACCACAGCCTAGCCGATGGGCAATCAGCCATGAACTTCATCAACACATGGTCCGACATGGCTCGAGGCCTTCCCCCGATCGCCACACCGTTCCTTGACCGCACCATCCTCCAAGCCAGGAGCCCGCCCTCTCCAAAGTTTCACCACACCGAGTACGACCCGCCCCAAACCCTAATCAACAACAACAACAACTCGAAGAACCCGACCCAAATCGACCCCAAAAACCTCACCACTATGTCGATTGTCACGTTCACACCGGACCAAGTCCGTGCCCTAATAACGAAATGTGCAAACCCTAGCAACGACCATTCCAATGTCAGGTACAGTACTTACCAAATCATGACCGCACACATTTGGCGCTGCGCGAGCAGGGCGCGCGGCCTGGCCGACGATCAGCCGACCAGGCTGCACATATCGGTCGACGGAAGGTCTAGGTTGGTCAACCGCCCACCATTTCCTGTGCATTACTTCGGCAATGTGATTTTCCATGCTACTACGATGGTAAAGGCTGGAGAGCTTGTCTCTGAACCGATTGCTCGAACCGTGGAGAGGATTCGACGAGCGATAAACACGATGGACGACGAGTATCTGAGGTCGGCTGTAGATTACTTGGAAGATCCTAATGATCCAGCTGGTGTGATGCAGGTTCCGGGGACATGTCGGTCGCCGAACCTGAAGATCATCAGCTGGATCAGGCTTCCTTTCGAGTACTCCGATTTCGGGTGGGGGAGGCCCGTGTCGTATCGTCCTGCGAATCTATTCGAAGGGAAAGGGAACCTGATGCACGGCACGGATGGGAGCCTGTCCCTGGTGATTTGTCTTGAAGAAGGTGCTATGGTGGCGTTTCGAAAGCTGGTTCATGATGATGATGTTGGCGGTTGTTGTTCCGAGAGATCGGCCACATCGTCCAGGCTCTGATATCAATAATAACTCGTCTTGAAGCGACGATGTTGTATGATGTTTTATGTTTGTTCCTGCATTAAGACTTTCATATAATGTCAAACGCATATGTTCACGAATTCATTCTGATCGCTCGTTATAGAATTGTTGGGGGAAAAAATGGGTTAATTGCATGGTTGGTCACTGAGATTACAAAAAATGTTCAAGTTTGGTCACTCGAAATATTTAAATCCATTGGTGGTACTTCAATTTACTGAAACCGTTCAATTTGGTCACTCTCCGTCCAACTCCGTTAACTTTTGCTTACGTGGCGGTCAACTCTAAAAGTTGACCGTTAAATGTGTGACGTGGCAATTTAAAAATGATAAATTTAATAAAATTAATTTTTTTAAACTGCCATCGCTATACCGTATCAAATACCAATACCCGCCGGCAGCATACCCCGTTCCGACAGCTGCCGCGGCGGCAACCACCCCAACAGTCGCCGCCCCCGCACTGTCTTACTCTTACGAGGAGGAGGAGCCTTTCGGAGGAGCAATGATAGGGAATTGCTGACATGGCGGTGTAAGCGGACTCGATCGAATCAGTCAGCGCGTGCATGGAGGGTCCGGAAGCGGAGTCGAGGCCTTCGAGGCACGTGTTCTTGTTGATGAGGGTGGCGCTGATGTAAGCTCTGGCATCGGCGAGCTTCCTGTAGCCACTGTCAGCGCGGAGCTAGGAAGCTTATCTCTGGAGGGCGAATCCTACATTGTTCATCTCTGTTTCTCGAGGATGTCTGGTCGGAGGAGGAGAGCGGTGAGCCTCTGGGCGTCGGAGATGGCGGAGTCGAGGGTTCGGAGGAGGATGGTGACGATGTTGATGGAAATGGAAATCGACAGCTTGAGTGAGTGGAGGCATGATTCTGGGTATGGAGTTGTTGTGCAGAGTGAAGACGTACAGGTTGTGGTTGCGCTTGCTCCGATGGTAGGTTTTACTTATTCATTTTAAATAAAAGTGACAATGAGGTGGAAATGAGATGGTAGTTTTAAAAAAATTAATTTTATTATTTTTAAATTGCCACGTCACACATTTAACGGTCAATTTTTAGAGTTGACCGCTACATAAGCAAAAGTTAACAGAGTTGGACGGAGAGTGACCAAACATGAACGGTTTCAGTAAACTGAAGTACCACCAATGGATTTAAATATTTCGAGTGACCAAACTTGAACGTTTTTTGTAATCTTAGTGACCAACCATGCAATTAAAAAAAACATTCAGAATGTGTTGTATATCGGATCTTTTTTTCTGCGTATGACTCTATCATCTGAATTCTCGATATGAATTGAACGGACTGGTTCAAAATTTGGATTTCTAGGTTGAAAATCAGCGATGGTAAACTTCCATTATTGCACCCATTTGTTCAGTGTCTTCATTTTTTTCTCCATCATTATAGATGAGCAGCTATGATGAAGCTGATGCCTACCTCGTATTTATATTCTGGCATGTTCCATTCGCATATGCATTGATTGTTATTCTTTTGTTTCCATCCCAGACTTACATATAATTATTTTTCTCCCTCGATAATATTTTTATTTTTTGCTAGTTACTCTTCTTTCCATTACACTAACAATTGCATCTATTTGAACTGGCAGTCATTGGATATCAGTTTTGAAAAAATGCTCTCAACTACGACTAACGAATCCTTTGCTCCGGCGCCGTCCCTTTTCCCCTCCGACCGACCGCCGGACACTGCAACCTCTCCGACGAACTCTAGCTCTTCAGATACAGGAGTCGAAACGCCTACTGCTGAAGCGGACATGCTTATTGATCCTATTTCCACGGTGATGCAATCACGACGCCAGGAAAATGGAGCTGAAACGGTGATAGTGCAGACTCAGCACGACCCCGATCAAGGGGTTATGGCGACTTCCCCGACAAAGCCACAGACCAAATTCTCTTATGCAGCAGCCCTGACGGGCTGGAAGACCTCAACAACCAGCCAGACAGTGACAAACCAGTGGACGCCAGTGGGAGCAAATGATCTTGTTCCAGGCGAACGGAATGGGGAACCTGCTCTCATGATTTCCACCGGCTTCAAGGACAGAATCTGTGCGCCGTGGCAGCGGACGCTGGTGGTGCGTTTGCTTGGGACAAAGATCGGTTTCACAACGCTCTGCTCTCGTTTACGGAGTCTCTGGAGACCGATCGGTTCGATGGATATCCTGGACCTCGATCATGATTGCTTCCTGGTAAAATTGAGCAATGAACAGGATTATTTTCGTGCCTTAACGGATGGGCCATGGGTTATTTTTGATCATTATCTGGTGGTCCAACAATGGACACCAAAGTTCAAGGTCTCAGATCCTCTCCCCAAGACGATGATCGTCTGGGTGCAGCTGCCAGCGCTTAAGGTTCATTTCTATCACAAAGAGGTGCTGACCATGCTTGGGAATCTCATCGGAAGAACAATCAGGCTCGATTATCATACTCTGAATCTCGAACGTGCCAAATTTGCCCGCATAGCTGTGGAGGTGGACCTTTCAAAGCACCTCGTTCCTAGAATTTGGCTGGACGATGCGTGGCAGAAGGTAGAATACGAGAACCTCCCAACGGTATGTTTCGAGTGCGGAAAAATTGGTCACACAAATATGACCTGCCCTCAACTACGCCAGCCGACGCCGCCGACGGTCCTAGCCATCACCGGCGGGGAGCCCCAGAACAGTGAGGTTCCGTTGGAGGAGGACCTGAACCCGGGATTCGGACCGTGGATGCTTGTTACCCGCAAAAGCCGGCGGAATCCAAGAGAGGACCCGGCCAAGAAAGGAAAGCTGGAGAATGATCCTGGGAATCGAGGCAACGGAAACGTGAACAACTATGAAAATAAAGGAATCACGAAAAAGGAAGGAGAGACCTCTCCACAAAAATCACTTTCCCACAGTGTCTCATCTTTGCAACGGGCATCCAACCAAGAAAGGAAAGGGGGTGCGGACAAGAAAGGAAAAGAAGAGAACAAGAAAGGGAAAGAAAAGGCTGGGTTGGTATCTAACGGTAATGACAAAGGGGTTTTGGGCCCTTGCCCTGAGAAACCAACAAGCGGGCCGAAGCCCACGGCGGATCCAATGGAAGCTTCTACTTCCTATCAGCTGACGCAGAGCCCAAGGTCGGACAACAAAGCCCGCAACCCTCAAGCCACTCGGCCCAGACCCCCAACTTACCACACCCACACCGGACCCAATGGGACTGTTATGCAGATCGTGAATCTCCAAACTTCCTCGGCCGGGAAACAGAACGATGCGACCCCCCCTTTGCCCCTACCTTCAACCACGACCAGGACCAAGAAGAACAAAACGCCAAAGTCGAACAATCGGCGATCCCCAGCCAAGCTCAATCCGGCGAAGAGTCTGCAAATATGGTCCCCGAAAAAGGACAAGAAGGCGAAATCCAAAGCTAGAATCGCGTCTCTGACCCTGCAAGAGATTCAAGCATGGACGACTGCCGCCGGGACAGCTCCTCTTGCGTTGGGAAAAGACGACATCCCCGGAATGGAGGAGGCGCCTCGGACGAACTCGAACCCGGACGGGCCGGAACCCCTCTCTAATTGATGATTTCTCTAGCTTCTTCTCCTCTTCTGTTCTTGTTTCCTTTTCGCTTTTTATTTTGTCTTATGTCTATGTCAACCCAAACTAATTTAAAAATTTTCTCATGGAATGTAGGCGGAGCGGGAAACAGGGCCTTTGCCCGGTCTTTGAAGCTCGCGATACAGTCTCACCGGCCTGATTTTGTCATCTTGCTCGAGCCTCAGATCAGCGGGGTAACGGCGAACTCTGTCTGCGATAAATTGGGGTATCCGAACTCGATTCGGGTGGAAGCTGAAGGCCGAAAGGGAGGAGTGTGGGTCTTCTTGGACGGACAGCGTTTTTCCACCCAGCTTATCTCGGCGTGTACCCAGCACATTTCACTCAGAATTGATCAGAACAATGGGCGCCCCTGGGTCCTGACTGCAGTCTATGCCTCGCCCAAGCAGAGTAATCAGCACACCCTTTGGGATAGCATCTTTCAGCAGAGCGATTGGATAGATACCGCTTGGATCTTGACAGGTGATTTCAATGCCATTAGATCGGCAGAGGAGAAGTCAGGGGCCCCAGCAGCAAGTACCCACAGGCGCTGTCGTCTTTTTAATAATAGGATTAATGAGGCTGAGCTCATTGATCTCGGTTTTTCGGGGCCTATTTATACCTGGACGAGGGGAGAGGATCAGCGGTCCTATAAGGCTAGCAGACTGGACAGAAGCCTTTGTAACCTGAAGTGGAATGAGACATTCCCGAATACTACTGTGCTCCACCTTCCCCGCCTTCATTCGGACCACTGTCCGATCCTTACCACGGTTAAGTGCAGCAACAGAAGCAGCATCAGACCTTTCAGATTTGAAGCGGCCTGGCTTACGCACAGCAACCTGAAGGATTTCATCTCAGAAACTTGGGATCCGAATGCAGCACTTCATAATGGGCTATCCAACCTCGCTGGTAAGCTTCAGGTCTGGAATACCAATGTGTTTGGGAACATCCAAAAGAACAAGAATCGCCTGCTAGCTCGCATCAAGGGCGCTGAAATCAGACTGGCAAGCTCCTTCAACCCCGGCCTAGTAAAACTGCACTCCAAGCTTGGAATCGAGCTTGATAAGGTGCTTGAGCAGGAGGAGATCCTGTGGTTCCAACGTTCAAGAGATAAATGGGTGAAGCAAGGAGAGCGCAACACCGCCTATTTTCATCAGCAGATCAACATTAGGCGAAGGCGCAACAAAATAGAAGCCTTGCGAGACGCGAACGACATCTGGGTGACCGATCCTCAATCCCTTGCTCAGATGATTTTTGAGTTTTTCACTAACCTTTGCATGCAGGATAATTCTTTCTATGAGGACAAGCTTCCAAAGAATGCCTTTCCTCGGCTAAGCCAACAAGAGTTGCTGTGTTTCTTAAGCCCGTTCTCCATTGCGGATATTCACAAGGCCATTTTCGAAATGAAACCCTTCCAGGCGCCTGGTCCAGACGGGTATCACGCAGCCTTCTACCAACAAATGTGGCAAGTCGTTGGAAAGAACCTAGCAGACATGGCTATGAATTTTTTCAACACAGGCTCGCTTCCGGGGTACATTTCGGCTTCCACTTTAGTCTTGATTCCAAAGGTGGACAAACCAGAGAAGGTGGCACAACTTCGACCCATCTCGCTCAACAACGTTAGCATGAAAGCTATCACAAAGGCAATGACGAACAGGTTGAAGCCCCTGATGAGGAAGCTGGTTTCGCCTAGACAGAGCAGTTTCATTCCCGGGAGACAAACAGCGGACAACATTATTGTAGTCCAGGAAGTTTTGCACTCTTTCAGGAAGAAGAAAGGGAGGAAGGGAGGTCTGATT